ACCATGGCCCCCCAACACTTGCCGAGGGCGGAAAACTTCTCACCCATCCTCGGGACTGGTCAAGAACTTGCCTGAATGAAGTCAAGCCTATGCCTAAATTTTACAAAATTAATGATCCCAGTTATTTCACGGCTGTTGGTAGCTTACATTTTCAATCGGACTTTTGTTCCTATCTCCGTACCTGGAATATATATAGATTTGTGCGTGATATCTATGAAGAGCGCATTTCCTTCACGCCGGCGTATCATTATATCTACACGGCATACTCCGTACTGCTTGTGCTTTTCTGTATAGCCAAGTTTTTTGCATTGCGTACACCAGAACCCTACATAATTGCTGCAAGACTGTTGCCAAGGCTTGTCCGGGTCTACTTCGGAGATATGAGTCCATACAACTCACTAGTCTTACATATCTAGCTGCTGTTTAGCACGCCACACACCACAACCATCATAGCCTACCCCAGTAAAGGATCAAATATAAAAGGAGGCTGGGCTGTGATTGCCGTGAATGACTACAATCACGCTGGAATAATGGTTCCTTTAGAGGTAGGATTGTACACCGAAAGTAGTCTATGCTACCACACAATCAGCAGCCTCTTCAGTCACTGGCATTCCGCACTCAGGTTCATGTCCTGCTACCTTATGTGCCATTTGGCTATTTCGAATACAGTGTGGGGTTCAAATTCAACCTAAGAATCTACGAGCGTCCGCAAGCATCACGACGAGATCATTACTCTGGGCAGAGCCCTTCATGAACTTGTTCCATATGGAATTACTCGACGTAGTTAGACCTTAGGATAGATGGGTCATGGTGGTATTTATAGCTAAATACCCCTCTAGCCATAGGGTTGATCCCTTGTGTGAGCTCATGTAACTCAAGATTCTCCCCATGACAAACCCATTCTCATGGGCCCCACTGCCAAGTCACTAATCACACTAGTGTAATCCCAAGAGAATCCAGCCGTGGAATTTTCTCGCCCTACATGCCGTGTTTCTCCTGGATTGGATCCGGGTCGATCCGGAAGGAATTTGGCAGTTGAAGGCCTTCGAAGATTTTCTAACATGCAGGAGGCCAACGGCTTGAATCGTCAATCGATCAGAGTTTTGAAACAATTGTATAAATGAAAGCCCATATTTTCTACCAGAGACCAGGAATATGATTCCGGAGAGTGGGAATTCCAACCAATTACCAGGTTGACCTCCCTCACTCAGACCCATACGAACCCACCGGATACGAGAAGCCGTGAGAGTTCCTCCGGACAACCATGATCTAATCTGATCTGATTAAATAGCCGGCCCTGGATGCGATTGGGTGTCCCATTGCCCCCCGCCGGCACTAAGAGTTAGTGCCTCGGACATTGGGCTCATCAGATAAGGAGCAGATACCCAGTATAGCAGTCCGTAGTTGGTCCCTCGCCTGCAAGATGTGGACCCGAACGCTGGCTGCGGCATCGGTCGCCCTGAAACCCCCTCTTCTGAGGGGATTTCTCAAAAATACTTTCGTCCCAGCTAGCCAGCACAACTTTCTCCGTGCCTCTATTCTACCACGCGCGCAACGTGTTTTCAGCTTCACGAGACCCCTTCGACAGATCTCAACCGCGAATATGGGCGACAAGCCAGCAGGAATCACGCTTCCCAACTCGGAGCAGTTCTATCTCGACAATGGCCAGGGTGAATCATACTTGATCCAAGTCTCTTGGCCACTGCATTGGCAAAGCCATGACCCTCCCACTGGGAACGAGCAACTTCCGATCATGTTCGTACCCACGGAGAAACTTAAACAGACATTCTCTAACAAAGACCAGATACATCGTCGATGGAAACGCACTATTCCTCAGCGCGACAGAAGCCGCCTGGCGTCGGGCAGCTTCCTCACATTTCGCCGGCGGCGGCATCGTCGTCGCGATCGGGTATCCATTAAACGGAAAACTATACGATGCGCGTCGCCGCAGTTTAGACCTAACGCCACCAACACTAGCCCAGATACCCGGATACGGAGGAGCGGATCTATGTCTTGACTTCATCGATAACGCCGTTCGTCCTGCGATCAAAGAGCGATTCCCAAAACTGTCCTTTTCACGAGAAGCGCTCTTTGGCCATTCATATGGAGGCTTATTTGCCCTGCACGCACTATTCACGCGCCCGCAGTCCTTTGACTGCTACATAGCGAGCAGTCCCTCGATTTGGTGGAATAGCCGGTGTATTTTGCATGAAGCCAAGGCATTTTTAGAAAAGGAGACGCCGGCAGATGAACAAGCGCCGTCGCTGATGGTATTCTTTGGGTCTCATGAACAAAGTCCACCTCAGTGGAACAATGAGCCTCTTGATCACTATGAAGCACGGAAGCAGATTGCTTCGGATTTGAGAATGGGCGACAACGCACTTGATCTTGTGAAGATGCTGCAGGGTACCAAGCGGTTACATACTGTCGTTGTGAATGAGTATGACGGTGAGGAGCATGGCAGTATCATGGCGTGTTCGATGAGTCGGGGTTTAACTACATTCTTTGAAGATTGGCCGTTGCCAAACTAAACTGGTCTGGGTTTGACATTAAAAGGGTCTAATGGTGTTCAGGAACTAGAGCTAATAGGACATATGATTTGTTGATAGAAGATCAATACAAGGTACGTAGAGAATCATCTCATGAATAGGATGGTGCCTGTTGAAAGTAGGTCCTCTCCTAAAATTGGGTCTACGAACCCAGCGCTGCAAAGATATCCACACAGTGTAGAGATAATATGTAGAGGTAATCCTGGCAAAAGCCTAGCCTCTCCTCTAAGCTTAAAGCACGAACGGTCACACCTTTAACTTTGCTTCTTATGAGCCACCTCGGGATCTCTTCCCGCAAAAACTGACCTCGACGCCCACGAAGCAGGCCAGGCAAAAGACTCTTCCATAGCATCATGGCTCTCATCAGTCACCAGATGATCTACCACCGCGATGAAGATGTAGGCACCAGTTCCAGTAAAGATATGCCACCTGCTCCATTCTAGGATAAGCATCGATGGCGCGAAAGAGAAAAGGCAAGTGAGATAAAGACATGTCAAGACGTACCACCCGTGGAGCTCTAATAGAAAGGCCAAGGGAAGGCCAATCCTCGCCCGCGTGCTTCTTAAAAACCCACATATCCATATATCAATCAACCAGAGGTAGAATCCCAGGTTGAAAATAACTTATCCCATGCGTCAATATATAACCCAAATGGAAGGTGATGATCACAACCCACCTGCTCCGAATCGTACCATCCCCCATATCTGTTTCCGAGCCGCTGAGCCTGCTACCGTCCGAGTGTTGATAAGCTGCATCGTGCGGATCCCGATGACGGTCACCATGGCAGCAAAGGATAAGGAGTGCACAAGAAGCTCATCCGTTCTGACATGATAAACCACTAGGCTCAAAAGGGATGACCATAGTAGGATAGCCACCAGAACCGAATTTCTGCGAGTGGCGTTGACGGTTAAGACCTGGTGTAGAACTGGGGTTGTTGTGAAGAGCATGGAGAGATCATCCACTGGTAACCATCCCATATGGTAACAGTAAGTTAACTCAAGTCAAACAGCCGATGTTGAATATACGTGGAACTTACACATCTGGGTGTGGTACTTGAGACTAATGTGAAATGCGGCTGAGCATATTCCAACAGCCATCAAACCCCAGTACGGGATGGCACGAAAGATATCGCAATTCGATTTCTGTCGCAGTTTGCGGAGTCCACAAATGGCGTAGAATACTGCGCTGCTGGTAAGACTCTTTCTTGGCAAAGGATGCCGATTAGTGTCAGCGCTTACTGTAAACGAGGTTGGTCAAACTGTTGATGAACTCAGCAATGTATCTCGTCACTGCATAATCCTATTCCTCCCAAGTCGATGTGTATTAGCAGCAAGTACCATATACAAGGTTCTCATGGCATTCCGGTAGCTACCGACCTGCTCGCAAAAGCTTTCGAGATGTTAGCTAGTGGCTGCTCATACAATAAACAGCATGGCATACATACTTGGATTTGGCAGTTTGCATCCCCCAGAATGCGTTAGGCGAGGTTTCTGCGAACATTCTTTCAGGTATTTAAGTGTAGGAGAGTGCGTGTATACAGAGTAAAGACATACGTTGCTGAAAAAAGCAAAGCCGTCAACACAAAGAGGTTCGGGGTGCCCTGGAAGACTAGGCATCATCGATACTGAGATAAGCACTAATGGTAATCGGGGCTAGATGGAGCTTGAGTCACTAGGGCTAGTCCAATCATATTGAATTTGATACATCAAGCATTTATTACAGCCTTATTCTATTGATCCTGACATCTTAGAGGCTGATTTGATTAGTATATCCGATCCTCCGCTTGTCCACATCCTCGTTGAAAGCCACACTTTGCTCTGCTTCCAAAACGAAACACGCTTTTTGTTATATAAGAATGTCGAATACTACACTGCTGTCCAGTTTCTTGTGTGGCAAGTTGATTAAGAGGCGACTGATGTAGCTAGGTCAAAGAAATTAGTACGACTGTTTAGAGACTCGTACTTTAACTGCTAATTCAGATTGGTGAAAGAGTATCCCTATCTAGTTCGTTACATGAGTGCCTCGGTTATGATCTATGTTAAAGGACCCGGACTTCTCGCAGTCACATAAGGTTGACATTATACTACTGTGTATGTATCGTACAAATAGAAAGTTTCGAAGAATTCATTTTTCGGTGAGGTTATAGTTTTCGGCAGACTGACAGGTTTAAGAACGAAGAACATTTTAAATTCGAAGCTGGTGTTTTTCAACCAAGTTAAGGTTATGAAGACTATACCGGTGGATCAGTGTAAGATAATACCTAAAATCTAGCTACTAGCGGAAATATGGACAGTCAAAGCCTGGAGAAAAACTCATTGCTTATGGATTTAACCTAGCCCCCCCCCCTCTCCCTCCCCGCGATACTTCCCCATGTGTGTCATAACTGGTAACCTGAAAGCCCCAAGGCAGCTTAGAAGATACGGAACTGATCGATTTAGGCTTACTAGAATCCTATAGCATAGTACCTTTTGCATATTCATCCATATACTGGGCCATGGATGCATCTATAACTAAGGTTAGCTGAAGGGGACCGATGAGTATGAGGGCAAATGGCAACCTACAGACAGTCACCGCATTGTTGAGCGCACTCTCCATATATTTGGGCACGTTCTGCATGAGCACATCGAGAATAGGAAAGTTAGCTACTGGAACTCACTACAGATCATTCGTGTCTTTCAAGGGGTTCGTACCGCCATACTGGCCCCGTCATCCAGCCAGCCTTTGATCTCCTGTGCATCCGCCTGCATTGAGGTCCAGTAACTCTGGAGGACCTTAACATTATCCCGGAATATGATCAGTTGCGAGTTGCCCAAGTCTTCTAGATTGCGTCGGGCTAGACGAATCTTGTCAATCTCGTCTGCCTTTTCATCCCTCTCCCGTTTTTTCTCATCAATTTGATTCGATATGGCTAGATAAAATAAGCCTCACATCAACCATGCTACCCAGAGAGCTGACTTACCGCCTATGGCAATGGCAATGCCAGCCACCGCAGCCGCTGTCGCTCCGGCGAAAATCAGGCCACCGATCTACTCGGGTCAGTAACTGCTCCAAGAAGCGAGTACAAGGGGAAGCACTTCATTTACATACCAGGATAAATGGAGCAACAGGTCCTGACAGGGCAAGGCCGATACCAGCTGCTGTCAGCCCGACTCCCAGACCGACACCGAGTGCGATTAGAGATGTCTTCAAATCCGCCAACTTTTGAGCCAGCTCCACTAACTGCTTGTCTATCTCCTTTATTTCATTGTTCAATTCCTCTTCCTTATCCTTCCCCCAGCTAGAGAACTGGGCTGTAAACTCCACGAAACTGTCAATTAGGCTTTCGAACTTTGTATTGATCTCGTTCCCCTGCTCCTGGAAACTGTCTGCCCTCTAGAACCGAACGAGTTAGCATCGTCGAGAAATTACGTATACATGGCTCACTGACAGTGATAAATCTGTCGATTTGTTCCACCCGCTGAGCCACGGTTAAGGATTCGTCGGCGCACAGCGGAATAATCAACTCATCGAAGCCTAAAGGTGCAGGGGTCAGCTTAAGGAAGCCTAGTGGTGACTGTCCGAGCATATTTGGCTGACGTACTAGAACCATATTGACTGATATCTGCTGCTAAAAGGCGGCTCTGCTGAAGGACGTTGCGATATTTCTGCAGAGGCAAATCAACATACCATTCACGGCGCATGTTCACAAAAAGGATGTATAGGTTGTACAGTTTTATGTTCATTCAACTGCGTCAGGAAGTCGGTTTCTTCGAGCTGATCAATGCTCGCAATCTGCACTTGCAACGCTGTGAACGAGCCATCAATAGCCACGACGGCCGCGCTGGCAGCGCTTGCATCCTCTCTCAACTTGGCCACTGTCTCATCCGTTGACATCGTCTTCGCTGCACCCAGCGACAACTTTTTCTTATCCTCCTCAGTCTGGATTGGATTGTGCGCCTCAGCCCCGTCTTTTAAGACTTGACGCTCCGCTTCGGAAAGCGATGCGGCAACGTCTAGATATTTTTGAGGGGTAGGGCTACTGCCGACCAGCTGATCGACTTTGCTGGCGACCTCGTCATACGAGGGTGGCGAGTCCCCAGCGGCATAAGGAGGAAGAACGGTTGCCATTGTGCAATCACGGTGGATGCGCGTAGAGGAAAAGTTCAAATGAAATAGATGTGTTATACCTTAGCAGAGAAGGGATGATTGCGTCGATACTGGCGTTTTACTGCTCCCCCTGGCCATATATATCCCTTCTCCAAACGAGGGCTGCCAAGTCTCCTGTTCAAACCGCGTCATATAAACCCCTCAGCTTGAGTTATATCGGGCCTGCAGTGGAGCTTTCAAGGGTCGCGGAGAGGGCGGGACGCTGGGGCAGCTGAATCACCAGGTCCCCATTTCACCTGCACCGCGAAGAAACAGGCCCGGAGGTGCCAGGGATTATGCCCTCCGTTAGGAATTTGAAGTCCAGTTTGCCACCTTTATCGTCTACCTACAGGACCTTAGGAGATAATGAAGTGGATGATGCACGCGTTTTTGGAAAGCGCAGCAAATTTGATTTAATCTGCAGTTCTATGCATGATATCTTGGAAAGCTTGGATATGTAATCCATAGTTCAGCTTGTCTTCAGCTCAGGATGAGGGGCTGCTCGATATACTAGCAAAGGTGACGTGGTGTATGTGGGTGTCGGTGAGAGTTGATCGCCTATCATGCATGCAGGAGGGGAAGACCGCAATTTCTCCGTCTAGACACTATCTGGTGTCTACCTATCGGAATGGATATACTTAGTACGTGCAGCCATATATGCAGGGGCAAGGATAATGCAGACATTAGTCTAATAGCACCTACCACTATTACTTCAACGTGGAACCTCAGCTGCCGTTAAAGACAATAATGGACTACAGTGAATGGCGAAGAGATTCTCATATCTTCTTGTCATTATTGCCCACGAGGCCCCAAACTACTGGTTTCCGATGCCCTTATTAGCAGTGTGGTCTACAGGGGAACGGATGCATTGCGGTCTACCCGAATTCTCGACTCTTGAACTGAGCCACGAAGAAATTGGCACATACCCCGCCTTCACACAGCAAGTATAGCAAACAACCCCTCCCTATACCAAGTTGCAACATGGATGGGAAGCCCACCACGATTTTTTCATGGGCACTGACCCATGTCGACGACAGCGATCAACAGACAACGCAATCGACAAACCCTGCTTTTGGGCTGATTCACATAGAATTACATAGAAGAAACACGGACACCCGTAGATTCCCCGTCCTGTAGGCCTGGCTACGTCCAGGACAGACATGGAACGGGGAGATACCGGTAGTTTAGGGCTACGTGGCCAGCAACGACAAGGTATGGATGCCTTTAAGTGGCGTAGCCTGTATATCCCTTATATCATTTGAAAAGGACTACCAAGGGTTCATTGCATGACTATCCTATACGAAAATAAACCAAAAGTATGGATAACTTAGGACTGCAGCATCGGGCATAGAGATGAGGGTAGCACAAGGGCCCACTATGTTCAGCTACGAATTCTCATCGGCGTTCAACCAGTCATCCCAAGGAATCTGGTTGGTCTGTTCGGCGTACAGTCGCAAGTACTTGCCTACTTTCACATCTGAGACATGGATTATTAGTGTGTGCCAGCTGAATGACGCGTTGATGCTAGCTTACAGATCTTGGCCCCTCCATTCAGCGCCTTTTCCATGTACGTGGGTAGGTTCTGATTTCATTAGTGTCAAGAGTCCAGATTGCCGGTTCCAAAACTTACTACGGCGAAAGCGCCATCCTTTAGCCATGCCTCGATTTCTCGCGCATCAATAAGTGTACTGCCCCAGTAGCCGGCGAGGACTCCAATATGCTCTCGAAACTCGTTGAAATACTCTGTGTTGGTAGCCTCTGCACCCCCTGGTTGTGCCCGTGTGGCTAGGTCAGATATGACTGTTCTGATAGGTACATGTTCCCGCTTGGTCACTAAGTCTTGTTAGATAGCTAGCTGTGATGCGGAAATAATATGCACGCGTACTCGACGCAGCAATTGAATAGGCCGCGATGGTCGCGTCAGGGTTAGCAACTCCAAGCAGACCAGCAACCTAATAGGATAGCGTCAGAGTGTTTTGGCCTGTTTAGGTGGAATTCAACATACCATGACGTATGGTCCGAAAGGTGATTCCAGAGCGACCCTCAGTGCTGGGACTTTTACATCGAGCGGCACGTCCGAGAATTTCTTTGCTGACCTCGGTGCTGGGAAGCCCTTTGCCTTCTGCTTCAGGTCTCTCTTCAATGACTGACTCCCAGCTTGATTTATGAAATCCATAGTTTTGTCAAACACAGACTCTAGGGTGCTCTGCATCTCAGTTGCCGTGGTCTGGTATCCTTCCGCATCCTAGAGACGTCAACTAACAATCTGGGTCTAATGTCAACAAAGAACTATACGTTGATATATCCTTGGATTGTCGACAAACGCTCATCTATAGTTAGAGAACTGTCTGCACAGAATTCAATGACTTTATTATCGAAGTCTGCGAAGTATTAATCCGGCTGTGAGGCTCATATGCATTCCTAATTCATACCTTCCGCATACTGAGCAATCGTGTTGGCAAGCGGAACCCCATTCCTCATAGTCTCGCAATACAGCTAGAAAATGAGGTAATATAAAAGTCAGAGGATAATGCACTTCGCGACAGGAAGAGTAACTTACCCTCAAAATCGGCTCATACTGTTCAGTGAGGTGCGTGCCGTTCATTGAATCGCCCCATGCTAAATTGAGTACAAGGCCGACCATTAGTTCAAGGATGCCATTGACTGCATCAGAGGCCCCACTGGCAGCCTCTCCAAGCTCTTGGTCTAGATCATCTGAGGATAGTGCCTGCACGGCAGCGGCCGTGAATGCCTCCGTTTCTGTAGGTGTCATGCGGTACTTAGCAGGGGACTCGACAAGGACCTTGCGTTCAGACTCAGACAGCATAGAGACGGCCTGAAGGCAGGCCGAAACTGTCGCGGGACTATGAGTGTGCTGATTTAATTTAATAAGGACGCTAGTCGTCGACGGTACCGAAGAAGACATGTCGTACGGCGTGTTTTACGCAGGATGGAAGGTTGGCCAACGATAGCAACGAGAATATAAAAGGTCGGAAACTAGAAAGGCACGGAACTCTTTCGATTTTAGTAGGGGATTTCAAGCATCGAGCACTATCTTTTCTTCTTCATTTCCCGTGATACTCCGACGTGCACATGAGGGTTACATATGTGGCTTTCTCCACTACGTGCGCGATTTCTTTTGTATGTAGCATGACGCACATCCCGACGTCTTCTCAACTAGGGTAGGGGTATCTAACAAGAATTGAAGACTAGATTTAAATAAATATGTACCTTTTAGAGCTTTGTGCATAAAACCCCGGTCGAGGCAGTGGCAAAACCGGATATTCAACCTTGATGGGGCCTCTGCATTTCAGTTGGTATGTAGCTGCAGGCATTGGTATGCAGCTAGCACGCACTGTACCTTTGACAAAGGCCAACTACACAGCACTACGCCAGTTCACTGCGGCAAGACGCAGCAGATTACCAGTCGTCTTACCCCGCTTGCTTCGTCCTCTAAGGCTTGTATGCATTGGGCTGAGACATCGACTTCACAAAGTTGCGCAGAAATTAGCATACGTGGTATATGGCGACTTCGGCGATTCCGATGTCACATCACGAGATTATTGATGGATATGGAATGAGCCATCAAAAGTGATACAGTCCTAGGCAATACGGTGACTATTTATAAGGTCAGGCACAGGAGTGTAGGAAGAGACAATCCCAAATCCGACTGTCTTCCAAGTTCCTATATTGATTATAGTGGCCAAGCGTGTTGAATTTTAGAAATCATGTCTTTTCTTCCCGCATATACAGCCGACAGCTCTCCTCCTACGTATGATGAGGTCGCCGGAAAGCTAGAGGGTCTCCTCGGCAGTAATCCCACTGTCGAAAAGGCCCTCGAGGCTGCTCGCACCCTGTCCGATGTGGAGATAAATGTTCTTGCCAACGGTTATGAAGACCACTACCCACTGCAGACGGATCAGCAAAAGGCCGACTTCACTGTCGGTGCGGGACAGCACCTCTCGTCCGATGAGGGCCAGAACCGGATGGCGCTGGCAGGAACGGCAGCGTCTCAAACAGCGATCGATATTGACAACCGCCTTATTGATATCCAGAAGAAGCTGGCTGTCATTGACCAAAAATATAACGAGGGGTTTGCGGATGCCGTTACCGCTATTCGCCAGGTAGTGTGATCGAATAGTATTGCTTTGATGTCAATGCTTACTTGCATAGGACTATAAGCAGGTCCTCCAAGCCAGTCGATCCCTAGCGGCTGATATTTCACAGAATGGTAAAAGTGAGTGGTCTCCCTTGCCGCCTTTCAATCACATCTGATCGTGTCGTAGGCTTCGACACGATTATCGTAGAGTATTGTGCGGACAGTAGTATCGCAGTCGAGGAACGCAAGAGTAAAGTTAAAAGCTTCATCTCGGTGCGTTGCCTTACACGCGGGCCTCGGAATATCTACTAACAGCCAGTGCAAGGATACCAACGGGTTTGAGGCGACTGCCAAAGACATCCAACAACAATTTTCGAACATCGGGACCAGATTTTCCTCCTTCGTAGACACGTACTCGTCGTGGGCAAATGACAAAGAAGGAGAGCTCACAGAACAGATTAAGGAACTGGAGAAAGAGATCCTCGAATTGACTCAGCAGTTGAACGCAATTGAAGCAGCCCAAAAAGCAATGGCCGCAGTCGCAGTGGCGGCGGTACCAATTGCAACGGCGCTTGGGACCATCTTTGAGCCTGTCAAGCCGTTGATTATTGTACGTGATGTGCCTACTCCCATTAGAGGCTAGCGACTGATTCTTATGCAGATTGGAGGCCTCATCACCGCCGTCGCCGCCCTCGGCGCCTCTTTAGGTTTGCTCATTGCTGCTGAACGTGGGCTCTTCTACGCTTCCAAATAGACTTGGCCTAGCGAGCTAACTACCCGTAGGGGTGCAAAACGAGATAAATCAGAAGACCAATGAGAAAGAGGATCTTGAACAAGAACTAGAGAATATCCGAAATGCGCGCCAGGACCTGCAGAGCATGCAGCAGAGTGGACTGCTCTCTTTCCAATCCTGCCTCGACGTGCTTCCTCAGTACTGGAACTCCACAATCCAGGATGCACAGTCAATTCATGACTGGTTAGAAAAGGGCGCTGAGGCTACGGTACGCACATGAAAGAATATCCAGAGTCGCATAACGTAGTACTGATACTTCCAGGTACGGCCGGTCTATATGAGCTTGAACGTGGACAAGGGCATTAAATCCTGTAAGTTAGTCCCTGGCTGTTGTATGGAGACCTTGCTGATTGTCTGTAGATCATGCTACGGCCGCATACCTTGACAAGTATTCACACGGAATATAGGATCTAGGATCGACAGCATTTCTAGCTCTTACTGCACCTTCAACTCTTTCATCGTGCTGAGGGTCTCTGGTGTCCTCTGAGCTTGACTTTCTCCCTTTGGGCGTATACAGACATAACAGTGATGGAGTGAGGCTGGTTCTAGTATGTTAGAGACCTGGGATAGAGGAATATTTGCATCCAAATTTTCGAACCGTAGCTGGCCATACTTGAATAATAGTAGATGTTTTTATATAGTTCTATATGGACCTAAGGCACACGTGTTCTGTATACAAAAGCTGTCATGAACTGAAGATCATTTTGCGCCAAATATTCTCGAAAGATTGTGGGGCAGGTGGAACCGATATTTTCAGCTGGAATATCTCCCACAATCGATCGGCGATTCAAGCGAGTTTGATGGATCATTCGCCGTCTAGATGCCTGCATTGGAGGCACTTAAATGCCGGTCATGTTAGCCCTTGAAAGCCCGCCCATTGAGGCTCTAGAGTTCCTCGCCCTTCGGTACAATATTCCGGTAGATGTTAGCCTCCTTCAAATTGGTGAAGGTGCCTTGGTTTGTCCAACAGCTAGTGTTCCAGCTCAGCATGATCAGTCTGCGTCGAGACTGTTCGTGTCTTTACGTAAATGGCGCAAGGTATCTGCCGATTAGACTGCTGATCCACTGTAGGGGCATGTTCCAGCTGAAAACTGCATGCAGCGTGCGCGTTTCACTTCGTGTCTGCCACGGAATGCAATGTATACGTAAAGACACTCATTATCCATAGAGCGGTGCTCTAGTGGGGAACTACTTAAGGGTCCGCAGGTTCACAGGAAAGATACAGCTGTATAATTTCCTTCCATCCTTCCAGATCGATCTACTATACAAAAGCTACCTCGAACAATGAATATTGCCATCTCTTGCAACTCATGGTCCCTGAGGAGCCACACGATCGAGCACGAAAGACGATGGGTTACTGACCTCCACTGCAAGGCTAAGAAAAACAATGGCGAATGGATCTCCATCCAGACCCGCCTGGATGATTTTCTGTAGCACGATGATGGTATGCCTAGCTCTATAGTTATCCTTGTGGAATCGCCATGGTAGTAGGCCTCCTGGACAATTTTGTTTACAGTTTATCCGATCCCCAGAGCAACATTAGCTCGTCAATGTGCCATCCCCGACTTGAGGTAACAGGCGATGGTCGGCCGATTCTTCACGGTAACCTCACCACCCGGAGTGCCTATGGTCAGGACAGGAGCCTTGATTTATCCAAGATTCTTTGGAATAAAGATGGCCGACTCTGTCTCCATGGTGAGTATCTGATTATCTGATCTAACTTGGCCACCCGCTTGGACAGAATGGCTGCTGATGAGATCAACAGAGGACGTGGTCCGCGTGGAAGACAGCAAAAAAAAACAAAAAATGGAACAGGCAAGGGAGAGAATGGTAAGATAGTCACTTTCTCTTGAGGTCTGAAGCTTTAATATTAATGCCGCCAACTCTTCTTGCAGATGGCAAAACTGCGTCGCAACCCACAACTGATGGAACGGTCAAGGCACGCAGGAAAACTTCAAGATGTGACGGAAACGCAAGGTCAAACCTCAATGAACAACAAGGGAGGTCAAATGTGCTCTTGTTCGGTGTCAGTCTATCCTATTCATGACGGTGTTATGGACATAGCTGCTGTCAGAAGACGCTTCCCTGCCGGCTTTTATGAGTAGCATGGACTTATCGTTCCACTCTATTCCTCCTCTCCGCTTCACTCCCCTTGTCATCTGGGGAAACCCTTTTATATGCCCCCCTTTCCCTGTCTCCAAAACCCCAAAGCCCCTAACTTCGTATCAAGTATTCTCAAACGGGATCCCGACTCGTCTCAGATCTTGGCACCCAATCTTGGCGTATTCGTGACAATACTTTGCAATATAATTGGCTAGCGTGGGCGTTTTTAACTTTGCTGGGAAGGGTCCACCCTTTTATATCTAAGGTCGTGCAGTGTCTTCCCGCCGTTCAATCTGGGATAAGAAGAAACAACACCACCGGAAGATTGTGTTAGCCTCCAAAAAATGCTTCTTCCCGCTTCGTTTTCGCGACATATCACTTCTCTGCGATCGCTGAATCGGAAGTGGCAGAGACTCGTAGCGAGAAGAAACGAAAATAATGACGGGCTCTCAAGTCGCATGGTGGATGTGTTTCTACGAACCTGGGACTTAGGTTTCACCAGTTTTGGTGGACCTCCCGTGCATTTTCGTATTCTGCATGAGAGATTTGTGCAAGGGAAAGGAGGAAAAGAAAAATGGGTAGATGAGCAGACTGTGAGTTCATGTCCGGTTGTCGTAACGCGACCTTGCAGGGGGGCCTTCAACGAAGAATACAATCTGACTGATGCCCACGGCAGTATCAGGAGCTCTTTGCCATATGTCAGGGTCTTCCTGGCCCAGGCAGTACAAAGATGATCTTCTGCCTTACCTTGTTACATGCCGGGTTTATTCCAGCGCTATTAGTTTTCTTCACTTGGAGGTAAGGTGTCAATCTCTTTCTCGTCGGGTTCTATCGTAGTATTGACCATCCTGTAGCTTGCCGGGCGCGATTGGCATGTATGCCCTCTCCCTTGGTGTCCAGAAAATCGGCGACACCCTTCCTTTACCGGTGTATGCGCTTCTCTCTGGATTGAACTCCTCCACTGTTGGCATCGTTGCACTCGCTGCTGTACAGCTAGCCGAGAAGGCGATTCGCGATAAACTCACTCGCATCTTGGTGATATTCGGTGCATGCGCTGGACTGTGTTATAATTCCCTGTGGTATTTCCCACTGTTAATGGTTGCTGGCGGCCTGGCATGCATTATCTGGGATGGATGGATGAGCCAACGAATCCGGAAGATGAAGCTTGCATGGAGGAGACGACACACGGTCCAACCTACCACCGAAACGGAGTTAGTAACCATGCAGAGTATTCCGCTGGAAGAGGGCGGACGAGCTGCCGTTCCTAGTCCAAATGGTGATACGGCTGCATCGCAAATGAATCCGGTCCGATCGCGAAACGTTGGTCTTGGGGGTGAATCGGTAGCACTGAGTTCCGCAGATACTCGTCCTGATCAGGGTGCAGAAGAGTATCCTGCGCCCGCTCACAGCATCCGTGTCCGAGTGGGAATCTTGATCACCGTGTGCTTCTTTGGTGAGTTTCCGTTAATTGCCTCGTTCAAAATACCGACTAACTCGACTCTAGCCTCCTTCATTGGCCTTCTTGTTGGTCGAAGCGTCTCCCACCAGCCACCATTGGCTCTTGACCTGTTCACCAACATGTATCTGGCTGGTACAATCATCTTCGGCGGCGGGCCAGTTGTTATTCCCCTTCTTCGCTCCTATGTTGTTGGACCTGGCTGGGTTTCGAGTCGGGACTTTCTTCTCGGACTAGCCATCATTCAAGCCTTCCCAGGTCCCAACTTTAACTTCGCTGTTTATCTGGGAGCTCTAGCATTGCAATATTCGCAGTTCCCGACAATCTTCGGTGCATTTCTGGGAGGACTTGGAATCTTCTTCCCTGGGATTGCATTGGCAGTTGCTGTTCAAAGCTTTTGGAAAACCCTCCGCAAGCGAAAATGGGTTGTTGATTTCCTTAGAGGAGTGAACGCGACTGCGGTCGGATTGGTCTTCACTGCGGTTTATAGGCTCTGGGAAATTGGGTATCTTACTCCTGAGGCTAGTAATGGCCAGAGCCTAGCGAAGGAGCCATGGTGGGTTGTGATTGCTGTGGTCACGTACGCCGAAAGTGCATGGTTTAATGTGCCGTCTGCTCTTGCGATCATTATTGGTGCTATCCTGGGGCTTTGCTGGTATGGCGCAGTCGGTCATCAGGCGCTGTGAAAGTGTGGGATGACTTGCATAATTCTTCATATGCATTAAAGAAGGTTGCTGTTCGATTGGAAGAATGCTGGTGTCCGTGTCTGATATTTCCAACGCTCTCGAGGCAGTCGAGACAACTATGGTAACTCGAGCTACCTTGTACTAGATTATCAGCGTTCTACCGCTCTTTCATGCTACTCCCTTGTTCCGAGCTGAGTTTCCCATATTTACTTACAGTTGAAATCAAAGTAGAGTGTTTCTGTCGTGGTGATGTGCCCGTTAATTGCCATTGCTTTCATTATACATGCGATCGTTCAATCCGCGTGCTTACCCTATATCAAGACTCCGTAATGATTTCCCCGATGAATTCACACCCACTACCAAGATGCATGCCAATAGCATTACTAATACATCGGTTCATATCAGCCGTGGAAGCCTTACGATCAAAATGCTTAGGGCACCGCTCTCCAATCAGAGTAGTCCTTCATATGCCCTAATGCGTGGCGTCTGCTCGTATATCAGCACTAGAGGTACACTGCATTCCGCTATAAATTCTCTCTGGTGCCCACCGACTTTTACGAGTGCTCACCGTTTCTCCCTGTCTGTCTCTCTATCAATCAGCTTCTTCTGACTAATCATTGATGATGAGACACTTGCTAACAGTCAGCCTGGCTCTGGTGGCCACCGTGAGGGGCAAGCCATCTGAACCCATCGTTGACTTGGGATATTCCTCCTACCAAGGATACTATAACACAACTACTGGGCTTAATATCTGGAAAGGGTACGCAGCTCCCAACCTCGCCGTACTACTAAGTGCCATTTCCACCTCCACTAAGCATTTATTGATTCCTCTGTGAGCAGAATTCGCTATGCAGCCCCTCCGATCAACGAGTTGCGATGGCAACCCCCGGCAGCTCCTCAGAATACCAGCCACATTCTCCCAGCGGTTGACCAGTCACCGATCTGCCCACAATCCGGTGCCGCTAGGACACCAGCAGTCTATGGGTTCAGCTCTGGTCCGGGCGATGAGGATTGTTTGTATCTGAACGTCTATGCACCCCCAGGAGCATCCGATTTGCCGGTCTTCGTCTGGATCCGTAAGATGCCATTATGCCCTTGTCAAAAGGCGTAGATATAATAACTGGGGCATTCTGCTGATCATCTGATAGATGGAGGTGGATACGGCCTCTTTGGAGCTGTCTATGACCCTAGTCCGCTAATGAACACCAACGCCAATGGCTTTATCACGGTAGAGATCCAGTACCGTCTCGGCGCGTTTGGCTTCCTGTCCTCCGCAGAGGTTCACGAAAGAGGTACAACCAATGCTGGTCTGTTGGATCAGCGGTTTGCACTGCAATGGGTTCAGCAACATATCACTAAATTTGGCGGTAATCCAAAGCGCGTCACTATTGGCGGCGAGTCAGCTGGCGCCGGGGCAGCCATGCTGCACGCTCTGGCGTATGGAGGAAAAGAGTCGAATCTATTTCAAAACGTAATTATCAAGTTCCATGTTCCTTCACTCTATCACACTCCGAATGCTCCACTGACGCAGGCCATGCTCAGATCATCGCGGCTAGTCCGTACGTGGTACCCATGTACCCATATGATGACCCCGTACCCACCGGCTACTACGAAGAGTTTGTCGAAAAGACCGGCTGTGGCCCATCTGCGATCGCAGAAGCCCAGTATAACAGCAGCTTTGACTGTCTAGTTGCAGCACCGAGCGAGAAACTTCAAAACGCCAGCGGTCTGGTTTCCGCGTCCGGCCTATTCGGCACGTTTGCATTTCTGCCTGTCGTTGACAATGAGATCATTCGCCAGCGGCCGTCCGCACAGTTACTCTCCGGCAAAGTGAGTGGTCAGCGAATCCTTGTCGGAGTAAGCTCGCCCATCTCCTGCCTTCAGCCTATGATACACTGACAGGTTGTAGAACAACGCTAATGACGGCGTCCCCTTGAGTAATCCCAACGTGGTGACCCGCGCCGCATTCGACCATTACCTCTCGGCGACCTTTCCGAACTTCACCGAAACGGATCTCGCCTGGCTAAAATTGGTCTATGACACCGCCGACTCTCAGTCAACCGACGACAGCCCCCGGTTTGACACTCTGGGCACTTCCGGCCCAACGGCAAAGAACCAGTCCGAGGTGGCAACCGGACTGCAGCAGACCGTGTTCAACATTTTTGCCGAGTCCACATTTGACTGTCCCGCACAGTGGCTTGCCGAGGCGTTTGGGGGATCTCTCCGCCAGGCCTGGAAGTACCAGTACTCCGTCACACCAGCCTACCACGGCGCGGACTTGAACGCCTATTTTTCCGGCGAAGCGTCCTGGCCCAGCAGGGGGTTCAATCACGCATTCCAGAAGGTCTGGGGGGGTTTTATTATGAATAACTCGCCGATCATTCCCATCCCAGATGCCGCCGGGAACCAGAGCGGTGCCATAGTTCCTGAAACCCCCTCCGGCCAACTGGACTGGCCGCAGTTCCACCCCTCAGCCCCTTGGCATATGGACTTCAATACGACCGGCGGCAGCGTCTCCCCGCTGGTCGTCACGCCGAACTTGACCTATTATATCCGAGAGGGCGACGATGTGGTCAATCATTTCCGTCTCGCGAACGCCTACACCTGGGAAGGCGGACGAGGCGTGAGATGTTTATTTTGGCGCGCCGTTGCCGATCGGATTCCGCTGTAACACCGGAAGCGCAGTAACTTCCGCCAGACAGGATCAGGGGAGGCTAAAACCAGGCCGGTATAGATTGTCCCTCTAGACCCTTGGTATTAATAATCCAACCGTGACCGATGTTACGTACCCTCTCCGTTTAAAGGGGCAAAGCTTAGCACCTCCAGGTCGTACTATTGAGCCCGGATCGCCAACGATGCCACACCACGAAGATAGTAATGATTCGCGGGCTATATATATAATCGGCGCAATTCACATGCCGTCCGGACCATGGTTTATATTTATCCCTATCGTGAACGCTGGGCGGTGAGTTTCACGTTCTATTTACGTGTTTTCCGTGGAGAAAAGGGAAGCTGGCTGCCGATCTCTTACAGCTGGCGACTATAGTGGGGAATTTGGGAATAATGTTATGGGGAATGTAGATCCGGAAGATGTAACCGTTCTCCTGTGGCGGTATGACCCTATAGCAGTTGTTACTTATGATATTCGAGATCGGAATGCTATACTAGGAGGTTGTGTCTCAGATTCGCGTCTTAATGATGGCCGTATACCCAGGGTCTAGAACCCTGGGCTCTATTGAGGTGAAGCTGGAACTGGAGACAGATTTGGCTCTTGTGGTGATATCTTGCGAGATTTCGCTAGTTCTCGTATTTGAGATGTCTATAAGGACGTAGCGTAGTGGAATGTTAGGGTACTATGTTTATTGCAGGTGGACTAAGTTCTTAGCTGAAGGACCATCCCATAGTATCCCTGCTTGAAAGCTGAGTAGAAGATGATTGACCTGTCCAGAAGACCTTGTCTGAGGACTGCGGCATTCAGCACTTCGATCGGGAAAAAAATAAAAGCCATGGCCGGATTACTCATCTCGGCAAAAAATGGACAGGCCGAAGTTTTCCAACCCTTCTTTTCCCGTTTATTTTCTCTCTCGAACACTAGTCTTAGGGGATTAGCTACTCGCACAGCCAAGATAACGTCCATAGTCTCAAATTTTGGACAAGTTGAGCATATTCCGTATTTGGCTCCATGGGTCAGGAACCATTCACTTTGAAGGGGAGGGTTCTCGAATACGGGTATAGCCTGTCTAGCGTGTGGTCGCTTAACAGCCTCGACACACAAGATCGCTTAGAATTAATAGTCCGTGGGTATGTTCGGGGTTCAGGTACGAGGTGGCCCGTTCAAAATCTGCCCTAATTGACCTACCTAGGCACCGCATACATTTCTCCTGCATGTGATTCGATAAGATCCTGTATTAGTCCACGGGCATGTAGTCCATAATTGCCCTATTATAGTCTAGCTATAGAACTGATATCTAAGATGGTATCCACCCCTACCCGACTGTTGGCTCGTTTGTCCAGCTTACTTGATTAAGGAGAGAGGTTCTGGATTATTCCTATTATTAAGTAAGACATTCGAATTTTCAACAGTGCACCCATTTCCCGGTGTCTGTGGGCACTCGGGATTTGCCCTCCGGGACGGGAGACGTTGGTAAGGTTGGCACCTGTGGATGACAATGGGTATGGGGAAAGCGCCTCCACCTGCCGCGGTTGCCCCGATAGGCCTTATCTACCCTTCTCATATGCTTCTGAATTAGTTCCTTTAGACGCAATGGACAGCTCATAGAATGAAGTCAGATACGGATGCGCGTAGCCCCCCACAGGGCTGTCAAAGAAAGCACATCAATGCCTAAAGTGGGCTTATGAAAGTTAAAATAAACTCAGAGGCTATATTGCCCTACTCGAGGTGTCATCTCTTGGTCTTTGACACAACCGAGACACTTAGTTAAGGTCACTTACGGTCTGTCGTAACATGGCAATCCCTGTATTATTCAGCACCACGGTCCCGGCTCTTATGCGTTCTTATGCAGGGACCACGCGCATCTTGTATGACGACAAGGGCCCCTGGTCGCCCAGTGCATCGTACGAGCTCGGAACTGTTCCAGCAGCGCAGCGACACTGATGGACGCCGACGGATCGGGCTGGTCAGATTCTGGCGGGCTGACTGCATAGCGGATGCTCTGTTGTGTGGTGAATACGGGCTGAGCTGTCATTGTTTCATAAAATATTCGCGCAACCGGCTGCTATCGATCGCAGTGGTCACGACGATTGACTTTTGGCGTGTGTTTCAGAGCGACTGTTCCGGTTGCCCCGATTAGACTTGTAGGTTAGCCGCTCAGCGAGGCGCAAGTCAAGTTCTCGCATTGTGTGTCAAACAGATTTCGTATAATGGACATGTCTTAAGCGAGTTTGCCCTGCGCGAATTGACCAATCCATTGTTTAACGTTTGCTATCTGTCATTTTTTTTATTCGCATGTGTCCCGCTGAGACCTGACAAGGGGGGGGGGGAAAGAAAAAGAAAAAACAAGTTAGCTTCTCGTGGTGCTATAGTAGATCCCATTAAACATAAAATCCATGTTAGTGCAGGCACGCTAAATTGTACCACACCAACCTTGGCCACGCGAGAAAACCACCGATTGCTCGAGAGTTGCAGAATATGATCACCTAAATCACTCCCTAACCAGGGTTCGCGTGGGCCCTTTGATGTCATCTCAAAGCACGCCGGAGACGTCGGCCTTTTCTGGAAAGGGGAGAGAAGGTCTCGTTTGTTCGAGAGGAGACTTGGTGGCGGCACGCTTTGATCTCCGGCCGTATCTAGGTTTTTGATATGTCTTTTCCCACGTTGGCGAGATCGCTCTCTCGGAGAAATCCAAATGGATGTGTATCATTATATTCCCGTTGGAGTGAAATCGCCGATCGCCGGCCGAGAATAAGGTGTTTTTGGCTCTTTGGTACCATGGAATGGAATTCTGGGATACTTCTAAGGGTCCCAACGATCAGGTGGAAAAAAGTCACGGGTCGCCACGGTTCAGCTGAGTCATCGTGTGTTGGTTTGCACCGTTTGGGAAATTGGCACACGTAATTTTAGCCGGTCGAGCCCTAACGACCGAGGTTACATATATGGATATGGAGCTCGATGGTCGCATTCGTTACCATTGTAGGCCATGCGAGATTGTACTATAGTTCAATAATGGCATGGCGAAATTAACATGGACCAGCCTACTCCATACTCCATACGGTTCTCCGTATTCCGCCCGACGCTCTGAGCACTAGCCGTCTGATCTTTTCCCTCTCCTGAGTGCCGAACGGCGCTCAACGGCCACTATGACGGAGGGATCCAGAGTTCGTTTCGACACTAAGACTTGGCCTAAACTGACAGCTTTTAGTCCCGACCTATCAGCTTGCTAATGTTCCGGACTTCGGGTGAGAGTGGAGCCCTCGATCTCGCTATGTATGCACGGTTTCTGATTTATCGACGCAGCAGGAGTATTAGAGTGGGTGCATGAAGAAAATTTTACCAGGTTTTTTTCCAGTCTTCTTGGACCATGCGTCAATGGTTTCCGAACGCTCTCCTTTCCGGCCGAACATAGCCTTTTTTTTCTTGTCTTTTCTTTTTCTTTTTCTTTTTCTATTTTTTTTTGGTCTCCTGATGGGTGAGACTGAAATATTAATAAATGGGCCTCCCATTAGCATGGACGATCCCCCTGGTTCCTTTCAGGAAGTTGATCCGATAACACTGGGTCTGGATTTTGCGGATATCCCCGTGTGCTGGATACCAATTGCCCTTTTTCCTTTCATAGCCAATTTATAGGTCTTGCGCCCTCCGTCGATGCATCCAAGCTCCTCCGAATATCCCTTTGGTTTTCTTCACTCTCTCTCTGGTGAAATCACCCAATTCCAAAACCATGGATCTGCAGTACGAGTTCCCTTCGCAAAAACAAGAGGGCAACGAATGGTTCAATTTCCCTACCGAGATTGAACGGTCCCTCACCTCCGTCTTTGCTCCCCGGAACATCCTCATCGTCGGCGCGGGCATCGCCGGCATCTCCTGTGCCCTCGCCCTCTCCAAAGAACTCGCTCCTTTCGTCCCCGACCTCCAAATCACCATCTTCGAACGCCATGATATCCTCTCCACCTCCGGCGGCGCCATCAACCTCACCCCCGTGGCCCAGCGACACCTCGACCGCCTCGGCGTGCTGGAGGAGCTCGACAAAATGGGCACGGAAGGCGGCACCGACGTCGAAGCCATCGAGCTGTTCTCCAGCCGCTCCGGCCGCCAACTAGGCAGCATCGATTTCACCGACCAAAAAGGGAACGGGTACGGCGGATACAAGGGCCGCCGGGTCATGCGGATCGTCCTCTCGGTGGCCTTGCTGACCGTGGTGGAGCGGACGAAGAACATCAACGTCGTATTCGGGAAGAAGCTCGTCCGCGGCGAAGAAAACGACGACGAAGCCACCCTGCATTTCCAAGACGGCAGCACCGCCACCGGCGATCTGGTGCTGGGCTGCGACGGCGTGCACTCGGCGACCCGCACCCACTGGGTCTCGCCGGAACACCCGTCCGAGTATACCGGCATCTCCTTCCTGCAGACCGTCATCGACTCCAAGAGTATCAAATCCCCCATCCACTTCCGCTCCACGTCCATGAACATCTCCCGCCATGGCTCGCTCCTGGCCAGCTACTGTGACCGCGAACACGACCAGATCTTCCTGGCCGCCATCGTGCAGTTCAACGAGGCCAATCTGCCCTACTGCAAGATCGAGAACGGGCAGGACTGGGTCACCCAGCACCGGATCAAGAACGCCCTGCATGAGGAGATGCAGGCCCGCTTCGGGAAGTCCGGGATCCCCTGCATCCGCGAGATGACGAGCAAATCGGGCGATTGGATGCTGTACCCCGTGTACCAAGTGCGGCCGAATGCACGTTGGCACACGGACCGGGCGTTGCTGCTCGGCGATGCTGCACATGCGGTATGTCACCTCACCCCTCTACATTCCTTACATCTACTATCGTTACAAAAAAAAAAAAGACTAACACAACCGAAATAGATGCCACCGCGTGACGAATCCGCCGCCTACGCCCTGGACGACGCCATTCTCTTCTCGCGCATCCTCGCCAAACACCGGCACGAGCCGCTCCCCGTCGCCTTCAAAGCATACGAAGACCTGCGCCGCAACACCGTCAACACGGCCTTCAAGGCGTCGCGTCGCATGTGGGAGAAGAACCGGGACATGGGGTTCCTGGAGGGCCGGCTCAAGGAATGGACCTTCCCGTTCTACATCCGTAACCATCGCCAGGAAAGAGAAGCGGCGTGGGAATTCGACGCCACGCAGATCACGATCCCCATGCCCGTCGAGGGCGGCTCATTGTATTCTCACGGCAAGTCGGACACTTCATAGAACACTTCCTCTTGCCCTTTTTTACTCGGTTGGCTGGTTGGTCGGGATGGGCCGGTTGCATTATTGGAGTACTGGGAAATACGGGTTTTTTGTTTTTTTGCATAGCATTTTTTTGATGAGATATGATAGCGCTACTATTGCTGCTGTTGTTGCATTGAATGGGCTTTTTTCTTGTTTTAATAGATGCGGGTCTTTTGGTCTTGTGTGGTTGGTGTATAAAGTCACGTCACTTGGTCTAATGAGGTCTTTTTTTTTTCTGTTTGGCTTTTGGTTTTGGGGTTCATACTACTTCCTAAAAGAGAAATACTATCTACTTTAGCTCGTTTGGAATTGATGCTTACTCCACTCTTCTTGGTGCTATAGGCGCTTTGGCTTTTCTCTAGTGTGTGTTGGTCTTGGAAGGCCGGGGTTGTGGGGTGTGATGGCATTGTGTCTGTCTACTCCGGTGCTGCTTGTGTGTGTTGAATGCATTCTGAAGCGTCAGACTAAGCTAACTACCCGTGTGAGCTGTTGTTGATAGACGGTCAACCAACGCCGTCATGATACACCGAGTATATATCTCATATATACCCCTACAAATCCACCACGTATTACCAGTCATGAAAAGGTCAATACCGATGAACAACAATTTGCCTTGATGAGGTTCCTAAACTAAATTTCGATCCTGGCCCAGCCAAACAATCAATCAATAAAAAGAATGTAAAAATCACACACACACAATCACCCCAAGCAGTGATCTACCACACCTCTCCCCCCCCACGTTCACCTCCTATTTCTCATGAGTTTCTTAGAAGGTCAGGGTCTGACCGGCGGTGCCGTAGACAGCAGCCTTGACAGCCGAAGCAGCAAGGAGGTCGTACTCGTAGGGGACGCTGGTGAGGGTACCCTCGGGGGCGGTGTTCTCGCCATCACCGAAGTCGTTGTCGCGGGCAACGGCGTATCCCTCGTCGGTGGAGTAGAGGGGCTTCTTGCCGCCCTCCCAGACGTTGCCCTCGACCAGCAGCTGGGCGCCCTGGCGGGTGTTGATGCCGTCGCTGACGTCCAGGTAGTAGTTGTTGTAGAGATGGCCGGTACCGAAGCGGAAGGAAGGACCGCGGGAGTTCAGGTTGTAGAGGTAGTTGTTGTTGACGGTGATGCGGAGGTGGCCGGTGTCCTCGTCGCCGTTGCTGTCGGAGTGGCCGTACAACATGGCCTTCCAGTGGTCGTGGACGAAGGTGTTGGAGATGGTGACGTAGTCAGCGGCGTGGGTGAGCTGTGGGTGTGTTTTGCTGGTTAGTTGGGCAGATTCTCTTTCAATTGGGGCTGGGAAAGGGGTGGCTAAAGAGGGGGGAGCATACATCAATCAGACCGTCGTAGTAGTCCTTGTCGTGGTCACGGTCGGACGAGACGTCACAGTGGTCGATCCAGACGTTGTTGGAGTACTCTGCTGCAGCTTAGTATTGTCACCGTTTATGGTACGGTGATCGAGGGAAACATACGGACACCAATGGCGTCGCCGTTGTCGGCGAGGACCTTCTTGACTCCGAGGTTACGGATGATGACGTTCTCCTTCTCCTTGACGAGACTGGTAGAGTGTTAGTCTGGAATCCTCTCCATGAGTGTTGACTGGCTGAAAACATACAGTCCGAATCCCTCGAGGATGGCGTTGGCGTCCTTTCCGATAATGCTGGTGTTGCTGCCAATCTTCACCTGCTTCGCATCCTGGGTGATGGTGCCATCAACGATGACGATCTTGGCATCGTCGCTGGAGACAGCCTCGGTGAACTGGGCGTAGGAGGAGACGGTGGTGGTGGTACCGCCGGCACCACCGCTGGTGCCACCGTTCTGGCTGGCGTAACCGTGGGCAACCTGCGTGGCAGGTTAGATACAGCACTGGGAGACAATATCCCAATATCGTCAGGAGACTCACGTCAGAGATGGCAGCGCGCTTGGCGACGGTCTTGGTCGGGGCAGCCAGAGCCTGTCCGGACAGGCATGCGGCCAGCGCAAGGAAGAGCTTGAAGTTAGCCATTGAGGCGGGTGATTGTAGTGAAATAAAGGTTAAAAAGAAGGTAGAAAGAATGACACAGTGAAGGGAACAGCTTTGCTGGTGAGGAAAGAAAGAAGACCACAACCACGCCGGACGCAGAGGTCTTATATACCCTGATCTGGCGCTTCAGGATTTTTCAATATTATCCGATTCTATAGAGCTCGGTATAGCATCTCCGAGCCATGGAACCTCAAGCTAGGACCAGCACTAGTTGCCATAGGTGGAACTGAATGAAGGGATCGTCATCGTTTGCCCCCTAATACATACACGCCGGAGTGGGTAATTTCTCCGTGGGACTGGGGTTAGATTAAACAGCCAAGCTTGGACTGCAATGAGCAAGTCAGTGGCCAGCACGGTGGTATGACGAGATTGTTGGCTCAGGGCGGCTAGCTGACGGTTAGGGCTATCCTCTTGCCAGTCTAGATGATACATGGAGAGCCGCCGGTAGCCATTGGTGCGTTTCAGAAAGCACTGCCAAGAAGTCGGATGTTTTGCTTCTTGTCCTTGGCGCTCGGCTGCATGAAGACATGATCAATCATTCTACATGCATATCGTGTGCTTCATAGCTGGAATTAGTCTTGCAAAGCTCAGCAAGACGATCCTCGTGATGCTTGTTCTCCAAGGATCGTCCCGAACACGCACTGGAGTCGGTATCACAGGTGGAATAATAGGAACACAATAAACCAGCGGTATGCGCCGAGGCAGAGGTAGAAATCAAATCCACAAATCCGAGCAAGTCCCGAGAGTTTTGATGTATAAGAACGGCATTTTGTTTGAGTTTGGGTTGTGAAGGGAGACTCCGTTCTCCTTCGAGTAGTCGTTAGGACTATCACTGTTCCCTTTGATACTGCCAAGAAATCTCTCGGTAGATTGAGTTCCGGTCTTTCCAGAGCCCTTGGCACGTCTATATTTAACGGGACTTGTTCCACACGAAGGACAATAGTCTGGATTGTTTAATATAATGAGATGTTGTTGCGCAATTGGCTCTACAAGCACGTGCAATAGGGGCCTGGATTCCAGCTACACATGTGACATGACTATCCCTAACGCCAGCAGTCAACCACGCGCTCTTCATCGCCGTACTGTGCGCGGCCCAGATGTTCTCATAGAGTCAGGATACAGCAAAGGGAGCTTTACTTACCTCTTCGCGTTAGACACCACTACGTAACCAGGGTGGGTGTGTTTTATGTTTCCAGACTGCTCGAGACTGTGGAGCACCTTTCCCATGGTTCCTCCCGGGTCCCAGTTGCCGAGAAAGGAGCACGCCTAATTAAATAGCCAAGGGCACTTTGTTTAATTGGATTCAACGGTGGCTACCAGAGATTTCTCCTGTAAAAGTAGTGCATGTGTTTGCCAAAGTGCTGTCGCCGTCTTGAAGCATCGGTTGGGAAAACTTCGGCCTCTGCGATGGGGCCAAGACTCAGCCACACATGGCTTGATCGCGGTGATGATGTGATTGGCGTGATCGATCCCCCTCTTAATCTAATCCCCACTTGACATCAAGTCCACCCTGAACATTTGCCCGAGTATACAGACTACTGAAACCGCCATGGCCGATAGTACTTTCTCCTCTATCCCTGTCGTGGACTTGCGTCGTCTTCAAGATCCACTGACCAAAGCGGAAGCCTTGGAGCAATTACGGAAAGCCATCTTCCAGGTTGGGTTCCTGTACTTGATCAATCATGGACTCGAGGTAACAATCATCCACCCACTTCTTGTTTTCCTCAGGGTACTGACATAGTGCAGCCACTTGTGAAAAGGACGCATGCGAAGCTTCCGGAGCTTTTTGCCTTGCCCACTGAGGTCAAGGAACGATGTAATATGATCAATTCCCCGGCGTTCGTCGGGTACACTCGTCTCGGAGCAGAGACCACAGCATCCAAGACGGATCTGCGAGAGGTAGCCCCCGTTTCCCCTTTGAATGGATGTATAGCCCGCTGACCGAGTACGAAAGCAATTCGACTTCGGTACGCCGGGTATGAAACCATGGACTGAAAACGACCCCTTCTGGCAGAGACTCGAGGGAGACAGTCAGGTATGCCCCGCCAACATTCTTTCTACATATCAAGCATTCTCATGACGCAGTACCCGGACCATCCCGGGGCCCAAAAGCTCGTCGAAGATTACATCGCAGAGTCCGCAAAGCTATCGCAGGAATTCATGCGATACGTGTCAGAATGTCTCTCTCTACCCCCAACAACCTTCGAGTCATTTAAGGGCAAAATGGACCGTCTGAAGTTCATCAAGTATCCCCAGGCTGCGCCCGGCTCCCAGGGAGTAGGTCCACACAAGGACTCGACGGGCTTATTCACTTTCCTCTCGCAGGACGACACGGGCGGACTCCAAGTGCTCAACAAGAACGGCGAGTGGATCGACGCCCCTCCGATTGAGGGGAGTCTGGTCGTGAACATCCAACAGGGGTTCGAGGCGATTACCGGCGGTATCTGCACTGCGACGACCCATCGTGTGATTGTATGTGAGCCCTGTACAGACTTTATGTGTTTCCAAGTTTCGCTAACATCGAAGTAGGCCCCCACGACCAAGACGCGATACAGCATTCCATTTTTCCTCGGCGTGCGAATGGACCTCACGCTCGACCAGCTTCGCGAATCCGCAGCACATATTGTAAAATGTATTCCTGCTTCGGATGACCGGAAGAAACGAGCCGTCGATGTGCCCAGCGAGTTCCTCTCGCCTTTGTATTCATGTGTAGGTGCTATCTCTCTGTGGACGTGGAGTCTCACTAACTTACGATAGTTCGGCGAAGCATACCTGCGTAATCGGATTATCAGCCATCCAGACGTAGGGCAGAAGTGGTATCCGGAATTGTATGAGCGGTATACTAAGGAGAAGCTCACGTAGATATAGAAAGAGAGAGAGATGCATTGTACCCGGTTCTGGCTCCTTACCGGGGCTCTTTCTGGGCCACCATTGGCTGTTTGGCTATTCCCAAGCCGCTCATTGACAATTGTGTTATAAATATACGTATATTGTCGATACTATGGGGGTCTAAAAAAGAGGCAATTATAGTAGACTATTTCTCCTCTCGCAGGCTTTCTACAGTCGCTTATAAGGTTGTTCTGCAATGTATGTTAGATAGACACTAGGTAGAGAAAGTGCAGTCTACTGAATATGTTAGATATAGTAAACTCAATGAGAACAGGTGCGGAAATATGTACCCAGTATCCAAATATGTAGATCTCCAACGATATATCAGTATGAGATAATTTCTAAAGGTAGTAGTTCCTAGAAGAGATATAATATAACGTTGATATCTACAAGCTCTATGATAGAGTTGAATAGTACCTGTAGCTCTGTAGACTATTCTACAGGCCCAACTGATAGATCAGGGCTCTATCTCGATGGTTTATCGTGTCCGTAGGTAGCATTCTAGAAAGCTACGTAAGCCTCTATATACCAGTCGGTATGTTAACGCGTTCATGCGTTTTCTAGGATAATAAAGAAGGCAGTAATATGGGAGATTCACTTGTCTCTTCAAGTGGAGGAGCGGGTATAGGGACGAGGGAAATCGATCGATTTAAGCTAGTTGAGGAGGTAGTCGTAGAGATATATCATGAGTACGGAATACCAGACATGTATATATATCTTATGAACCCTATGCTGATACCCTACTAGATCAAGACCCGTAAACACGAGTCCAAACCTCGCCACCATATATATATATATATCCTACCGTACATAGTACAACCTACAGCCCCATGTATAAAAAAGTACAAAAGAGTTGAAATCGAACAAGAACATGAAATAACCCCCAACTCCATTGCCAAGACCTAGAGTAGAGTCCATGGAAGAGCAGCAATTTGTATTGATAATAATCACTAAGCGATTGAGACGCTCGACCCCACATGTGATTTATTCGTCGGAGGAACCCGACCACCACGAACTTTACCTGAACACACATTCAACGCGAAACAAAACCACCATGACTTCCATTCCGGACTCAACTCTCCGCGCCCTCGTGGACAATCTCAAGTCCTCGGATATCTTCACGCCCTCGTCTGAAGGCTACCTAGACAGCATTCGACGATGGTCGGAAACCGGAGTCAAACAAGCCGTATGGGTCTCCCTCCCCTCCTCCCGTTCCCCACATCTGTTCCTTGGTAGAGAGTGGACGACGCTGAGTGACCGTGCAGGGTGTTGTGGTGATGCCCACTGAGACTGACGATGTTCGCACCGCGCTTCTCTGGGCTCAGGAACATGGTATCGACCTCGCCGTCAAGGGTGGTGGTCATTCCGTCGCGGGGACGAGTTCTAGCGATGGCGGATTGGTCATCGATCTGTCGCGCATGAACAAAGTCACCGCGGACACAGAGAAGAAGACACTGACCGTCCAGGGTGGCGCCGTGTGGAAAGACGTCGATGAAGCGGGCGCAGAGCACGGGCTCGCGGCCGTCGGCGGCACAGTCAACCACACCGGGGTCGGTGGATTGACACTCGGCGGAGGATACGGCTGGCTGAGCGGCCAGTACGGACTCACCATTGACAACCTGCTGGCTGCGACGGTGGTGCTCGCAGATGGGCAAGTGGTCACGGCGTCTGCGACCGAGAACGCCGACCTCTTCTGGGGCCTGCGCGGTGCAGGATACAATTTCGGGGTGGTGGTCGACTTCACCTTCCAGGCCTATGAGCAGAAGACACCCGTGTACGCAGGAATCATCGCGTTCACACCCGACAAGCTCGAGTCGGTCGTCGAGCAGCTGAACGTGCTCTTCGAAAACCCCGATCCTCGATCTGGTGCGATCATCATCCTCGCTCAGCCGCCGGGTGCCCCTACCATCATGGTCAACGTGCTGGTCTTCTACAACGGCACCAACGAGGAAGGCTCGCAGCGTTACGCCGGCTTACTTGCCCTCGAGCCCGTGGTGAACATGATCGAGGCCATCCCTTACTCCTTGCTCAACGCCCTCCAGAACCCGATGGCCACTTACGGCGATCGCAAGTCCTTCAAGGGTCTATTCTATCGCACACCCATGGATGCCCAGTTCCTGCGTTCCATGCTGGACGAATTAAACGCGAAGGTGCAGGAGCACCCCGACATCATCCCAGCCATGCTGCTGGAGTGCTACGATATGAGGAAGATTTGCAACGTGCCGCTGGATGCGACCGCGTTCGCGAATCGGAGTCTTACGCAGAACGGACTGCTCAACCTGCGGTGGACGGATGCGTCCAAGGACGGCGAATATCGGGCCTGGGCGCGCGAAATACAAGCTAAGTTCAAGGCGCAGTTTGAGACACAGCTCAACGGAGAGGAGACTGCCGCTGTACCACAGTATATCAACTACGCGGAGCGTGAGTTCATCCCGAAAGATTCAAGTTCAAAAATGAAGTAAACTGACAGCAGACAGCCGGAGACGTGATCGTGAACAACATCTACGGAAATAATCTGGAGCGCCTGAGGGACGTCAAGGCGAAGTACGACCCGAAGAATGTCTTCCACAAGATGCATCCCGTTTCCCGCGCTTAGCCTACTCAAGAAAATCGAAATCAAGGGTCCAGCACCAAGTCCGGAAACTAGTATATTAGCGGAATCCTTTTCTATGCAGTATCCTAGGCGCCGGAAGCATGTGCAAAGCGACTGGACCCGTGAGATCTCGTATCCGCAATAAGCCTGTAGATTAAATTATGCAGGATCTTATCATGAGGAACGGGACCCGTGTCTCGGGCCCACACTCTCATTCGTGGAAATTTCGCTACTTAACAAAGTCTCATGTAATTTTCCTCATTAGGTATCGCGTAGGATCGGTGACCGACACCTGGATTAATCTAATTTGTCGTTGCCAGGTCGCAATCTACAGCTTGGGGGGCAAAATGGCATATTTGACGCTCTTGACGGATGTCCATCCCTCCAGGGCCTCCTCACCCATGTCTCGTCCGAAACCGCTCTCCTTGACACCCCCGAAAGGTGCATTGGGGCTAAGCATCGCCCAGGCGTTAACCGTCACTTGGCCAGACTCGAGGGCGGCCGTCACACGGTGAGCACGGCTGATATCGTTGGTGAAAACTGCTGCGCTCAGACCATGCAGGGTATCGTTAGCTTTGGCGATAACCTCAGCTTCCGTCTCGAAAGGTGCAATGCTCTACTCCAGTTAGCAATCTCACTTCTGCCAAGCACCTAGCCCAACAGAGACACATACCGCGACGGGACCGAAGATCTCCTCCTTCATGATGGTCGCATTCTCAGAGACATCGGCAAACGCGGTGTTCTCAACAAAGTAACCCTTATCACCAACCTTCTCGCCGCCAAAGAGAAGTCGGGCCCCACACTGCTTACCCTGCTCAATATACGACAGGATCTTGTTATGCTGTGCCGCGCTGACAATCGGCCCCTTCGTGGTAGCAGGGTCCAGGGGGTTACCAATGACCGACGGACTCCCTTCGGCCATCTTTTTGTACGCCTCGAGGAACTTCTCGTAGATACTCTTCTGGACATAGATTCGCGAACCAGCCGCACAGATCTGGCCATTGTTGGCCGTAATACCGATCCTGGTCCACAAGACGGCATTGTCCAAGTCGCAGTCGTCGAACACAATCGACGGACCTTTACCCCCGAGCTCGAGGTTCACGCGCTTGAGGTTGGTCGATGCCGCAGTCTTGAGGATCTGTCGGCCCGTCGCGCTGGATCCCGTGAACGAGATCTTGCGCACAGTCATGTGCTCTGCCAAAGCCCTGCCGGCCGATGCGCCGTCACCGGAAATAATGTTCACCACGCCTGCCGGAAATCCAGCCTCCTGGATGAGCATGGCCAGCTTCTGGGCGTAGAGCGGAGATAATTCAGATGGCTTAATGATCAGCGAGTTACCAGCTGCAAGCGCTGGAGCTAGCTTCCAGATAGTGATCATCCTGTATACGAATTAGCACCGGGTAACCAGTAATGTCGCACGCCGGAAACTCCCACAGCGGCTAGTCAAGACATACAAAGGCGCGTTCCAGGGTACAATGGCTCCACAGACACCCAATGGCTCCCGATACGTGAAGGCGACACCCCCCTCCATGGCAAGGGTCTTTCCATCGATCTTGTCCGCCCACCCGGCGTAGTACCGGAGATTCCCCACCGCCTGAGGGATGTTCATGCCCTTACTGTCGGTATACAGGACACCGGCATCGACAGCCTCGAGGGATGCGAAGTCATCTGCATCTCGCTCGATTAGGTCGGCCAACTTCAGGAGCAGCTTCCCGCGGGCCGGGCCGGGGGTATTCTTCCACACATTGAAGCCAAGAGTGGCGGATTCGACAGCCTTGTTGACATCTTCGGGAGAAGCGGCAGAGATGGTTCCGAGGGATTCGCCCGTGGAAGGATTCTCGACGGCTAGGGTCTGGGATGTCGTGGAAGGAACAAATTCGTTGTGGATGAAGAGGCCCGTTGGGACTAGTTTCACGACAATATTTTCTTAGTCAAGGATTCCTTGCACGGTATAGTAGATTGAGACCATGCATGGTATTACATGAGCAGAACTGAAGATAGAGGGGTAACGTTTACACATACCTTGAATCTGGCGCCCAGCGGCACCGGTCACAGTGATTGAAGCCATACTTGTTAGATAAAATGAATCACACACACAAAACCTTTGTGTTTTTAAATCACACAATCAGACCACCCGCCTATATAAGGTGGGTTTTATAGGCGACCACGTCACGGCATATCCCCTATCTCTAGAAGGGGCGCGGACCGTTCCGCTGTCCAATTCCGAAGTGATTCCGACCGGTGAATTTAGATCGGCAGCACTAGAAGGCTGGCAACGGGGCCTCTTGACAGTCCGCCGTTTGATTTGGCTTGAGGGGCCGCTTTTCACTTACGGCACTGGTTCAGAGGTATGGACGATATGGAGTCCTTTCTCATACATGTTTCCCGTCTGGGTAAGATAACCCATTAAGGGGGTGATGGGATATGTGATCCGGTCTATTGTTAGAGTCAGGATTTAGGGTTATTAGGGTGGGTCGGGCTTGGAAGAGGTAAAGTTGGATATGGACGGGAGCTGGGAGATGAGGGCATGGTAGATCCTGCTGAATGAGGAAAGAGAGACAGCTATCAAGGATGGTTTTGTGGAATTGGGGAAATTGCAGTTCGTAGTCCTTCTTTTCTTTCTTCCCCCGTCGTCGTCGTTGTTGGGAAGCGGCCAAAATGAAGGTTTTAGTTTCGACCCTTAGGAAAATTCGACCACGTGTAGGATTTGACACACACACGTGCGCCCACCACCCTCAGGCATCCAAATCAGACGCACGCTCGCACCGTCACATCCAGCCTTCCCCCCCGAGCCCTTATTTTCCTTGACCATTGCATTCTTAATTCTCTGAAGCTAAACTCTATTTTAGAGTTATCGCAGGAGACAGGAAATGTCCAGCCCTGTATCACACAGGTGCCACCTCGCAACGGGCGCAGCAACGACAATACCTGCCGCAGCGCAACTTCATCACCAGAACAAGGTCAAGGTTAACCTATGACGAGGGCTATATCAGTCTCCGGAATAGGTAACGACGCCAGCCGGATGCCTCTTGTAACCGCCACATGTAGGAAACACACGCCGTCATGGCATGTCAGCGAATAAGAGTCTCACCCTCTGCTTAAAGCAGAAGCCAGGTGGGGATGCAGGTTGTGTCACTTCCAACCATCCACCACAAACCAGCTCTGTCCTGTAACCTGATTGAAGTAATAGTTACTCAATTAGACAGCGTCAGCCAAGGTGCACTACGTAAGGGACGTCGTGCTTCCGTACGATAAAGAGAAACAGTTGCATCCGGGTACTACTATTCGTATAGATGTTATGCAAGGGATGCGTGGGGTACAGGGTTGGTACAATCCCGGTGATTCTTCACATGGGCTTACTAACCGATGGGACGATAGTTAGTTATATATTGCTTTCATAGTAGGGTAGCATTGAATAGTGCTAATCCCGCCCGGAAAATGTATACGCGACAGACTCCTGGCGGATCGGAATCCCAGACCGTTGATGCATTGAAAGATTAGCGTGGTAAACTAACACGATAATCATTTGCAATGATTATCGCTCACAGATTGATGATCTACGGATCGCGCACTTCTTGTAGCACTTCCCACATGGGCATGGTTGCATCATCCCCCCCGTTTGTCAGGACCCGTCAGCCAGCCTTATAACTTCGAATACTACCCTATGGATGATCTTATCTGTTCAGGTAAGCTGACACATATGGCCATAAGCCGAAGCGCTAAGATTGAACGCGTCAACCTCGACTAGTCTGTTTCAATTGAGACCTACGTCCGCTGTGTGCTTCTCCCCGTGGGGTTTGTACGGGGTTATTCGGGGTCCGGTCTCCGAAACCGGCAGTACTGTCTTTTGCCGTAGACGAAAAGCTATACTACAACGTATTATGGATAGTTCGGTCAAATGGAGCGTGTGGAGGTGTAGACAATTACGGTGGGTTGAATTTTGGGTACGAACGGAAGCATACTCTAGCCGACAAACATCTAATCATTTGACACCTTCTATCGCTAACCCAGCATAGACCATCGAGAGGTCTGCAGACCCTCTATACACATAATTTTAAGTTGACAAGTCCAATTCTTCCTTCCAGAACAACCATGCACTTGCAATGCCAAGCTTGATGCCTGCTGCAATCCACAGAACAGCGTAGATATCTCCTGTGCCCTTGGTGATCCAACCACCCGCAATGGCCCCAACAAGAGTGAGGACAAAAGCAATGATCCTGCGATCACGCTTCTCGTTCCGCAAAAGGAAGAGTTTGGGGTCAGACATCAGGTCACAGAGCAAGCTGGTGATCACAACCGTCGGGATTTCGTTATACCCAAGAGCTCGACTGGCAACGATCTGTCCTGCAGATTGGATACTCAGGAGTACGATGGGTACTTCCTGGGTCCAGTCTGGCTCTGCGGTCTCGAGATTGTGGAGAGGAAGTCCCGCAATAACGCCACTCTGGACCAGACATGCCGTGAGAATCAGCATAACCACTTGTAGACCGAATGAGAGGACTAGCGTCCCCCGTTTCTTTGCACCGAAGAGGCGGTTCAACCGGGCAAAGATGAAGGAGCCTATGATGAAGCATCCGATTGAAGTGAGAGAGCGCGCCCAGCCGTAAGGCCGGGGGTTCTGGTTGGAAGCGCCTAAGCCGACGAAGATCGTATTGCCTACAGAGTGTCAGTAATACATGTAGCAATTGGGGTCCCGAGTAGTCACTGACCAGTCTGCATGGACACGAATGTATTGTAGGCTATTTTCGTCAGCACCGTTCCATGTGCAGGCAGGGTATGATGAGCGAAGACGAACCGTTATACAGCGTGCTATCGACCAGGCCCGAACAAAGGCAACATGCGAATAGTAAGAGATCCGCATGATTTGGTTGTACCTCTGCCCTGAGAAAGGTCAGACGCTCTTTCCGCTGGCCGTCATACATAGCTTGTTCGCCGTGTGAGAAGAAAAAGTCACAATGACCGTGAAGAGAGGGAGGGGAGGGGGAGGGGGTCTCATCAGGGAAGCACAACAGTGGCCAAGGAGCCGGATAAAATGACCGACGACCTCCTCATGATAAGCACTCGCAGATCATGGCAAGTCCGACTCCGGGCCAAGTCGTAAGCAATCGTGGAGGTTTGTCCGTGTGGCATTCGGCTGATACGCTGGAAGTTTCGACCAGCGAGACACCAATCGGAGCAGTCGCAGAGGCTATCATGCATGTAGGATGCCGTCCGCCAGCCCTCAGGTCTCCTCGTACCGAGCGCCGAGACCAAGTCTAATTATTGTGCCGAGACTCGGGGTCATCATGCCAAGGCGCTTGGCCGTGAGGAGGGAGATTTGTCCGCGGGCGTCCGATGCGGAAGGACCCGAAGATGGAGCGTGGGCACTTCGAATCATAGGAGCGAGGACCCTGAACCCTTGAGATGCCCAGTAGACTTGATCGACGCTCAGATGACTCCTCACTTCCTCATTTCCTCCCTTCGTTGCGCAACGCCCTGACCAGAGGCACGCATCCCCGTTCGTCACGGTTCGATCTGCAATTGATACCGCGCGGAGATGGATGCGAGAGGAGCCAAGAACCACACGCTCCGAATACGGTGTTCTCATCTCAACGCCATTGCGAACCCCTGTCTTTGCGCCAATCCTCCGGCGACGGCCGTTGGTGTCGTTTAGGACTCGGGGCGAGAGGAACATGATCCGCAGCTGCGCCACGGCTCGTCAGACTGGTGATCAGCGCCAAATTAATCAAGCCAAGCGCAAATTAATAGGTCTGTTGCACAAATCAACATCTGACATGCACGCTCCTCAACAAATCCGGCTAGCAAGGTGCTCTCACCCCGGTTGACGAACGAGAGACTCAGTGAAGAGCTTGGCAGTGGATTCTTCAGAGCCACAATCACCATTGTATGGCTTATCTACCAAACTCTCTCTTACGCCATCGTCAGAAATGCGCGCCAAATGGTGGGCTATATGCATATGTTATCAATTAATATGTTTGAAATCAATTAGCCTAATTGTTCGGACGGATTGACGCCGATCCAGGCCTTCAGGGCTACTAGTTCTGGTCTATCACAGGCATAGACTGTACCACACAACCTATCCTCGGCGCTGCCAGGAAGCCAGTAGCAAGATGACTTAGTACCTACAATTAATAACGAGAGGAGGCATGCTGCATTCGTAATGACTGGCTAATCGGCTGGCCAAGTCCTTACGTTGCATATCTGAACGAGGGTGTCAGCGCTAACCGATGAGCAAATGGAGGCACTTGAGATACCGGCTGGTCGTCCGACGGATAGTTATTTCCCCGAAGTGGTAGGCATCGAAGGCTGGAATTGAGGTATATAAAGGGTCTCATTTCCATTGTAGGAGTGCTATCTTCCAGAACTCATCACCACCACCATTATCATCATCATCATTATCTTCCTCATCATCTGTTTTCAAAATCAATCACAATGAAGGTCGGAGACTCCTCCTCGTCTAACCTGGCTATCACCATCACCGTCGAGAAAGATGGCTTCTATGAAGTTAACGGGACCAGGCAGGAGCCCACTGTTTCCCTGTATATGACAGCCGGGGCGTCTAAGCTGCGCCGTATGTTGAGGGAAACAGACGACTTGATCGTCTGCCCTGGTGTGTACGATGGTATCTCCGCTCGAATTGCCATGGGGCTGGGCTTCAAGGCAATGTATATGGTATGTCTTGATCATGCACTGTTCCATATCAACACTAACCAGTCAGACTGGTGCTGGCACTACCGCCTCAAGGCTCGGTATGGCAGATCTTGGGCTGGCCCAACTGTATGATATGCGGACCAATGCCGAGATGATTGCCAATCTGGACCCGTTCGGACCCCCTCTGATCGCTGATATGGATACTGGATATGGTGGTATGTTATCTCCTCATCCCCAGATGACTGTCAGACCCCTGATATACTGCAGGTCCTTTAATGGTGTCCAAATCTGTTCAGCAGTACATCCAGGCTGGGGTTGCTGGCTTCCACATTGAAGACCAGATTCAGAACAAGCGTTGTGGTCATCTTGCTGGCAAGAAGGTCGTCGACTTGGAAGAATATCTCACCCGCATCCGCGCCGCCAAGTTGACCAAGGACAGGTTGCGCTCGGATATCGTTCTGATTGCCCGCACAGATGCTTTACAACAGCATGGGTATGACGAATGTATCCGACGTCTCAAGGCAGCCCGTGACCTTGGCGCGGATGTTGGACTGTTGGAAGGCTTCACCTCCAAAGAGATGGCAAGACAGGCGGTGCAGGATCTGGCGCCGTGGCCCTTGCTCTTGAACATGGTCGAGAATGGAGCTGGTCCCATCATCACCACCAAGGAGGCACAAGAGATGGGATTCCGCATTATGATCTTTTCTTTCGCCTGCTTTGCACCAGCATATCTGGGCATCAAGTCTGCGCTGGAAAGACTAAAGAATGAAGGCGTTGTTGGCATTCCGGATGGGCTGGGCCCAAAGAAGCTATTCGAGGTATGTGGGTTGATGGATTCAATGAAGATTGATACGGAGGCCGGAGGTAGCGGGTTTACCAACGGTGTTTGATTTTCCTTTGTGTTCTCTGTGACTTGGTTTTGTGATCTTGAATGCGTACATTGTTTTGCTTTTGATGCTCCCTGTGCCTGTTTCTTCGCTCTTCCCGCCCTATACAAGCTTTAGATATCTTTCGGTAAGACTTTTTGTTCAATGAGATTCATGTTTAGTGAAAATCCTCCGACGTGGTACAAAGACGGGTCTGTGTCTGTGTAAACCCTTATAATCAGTTACTAGGTCCTAGACTGCTTGGAGGCCAGGTGTTAGTCTTTCCCGAAGCCATAGAGACTAAGCCATGTCTTGTTATAAGAGCAAGGTGTGGTCTTGGATAGATGAAGAGAAAAGAACAATACGGGGCAATTGAAGTTGGCCAAGCTCGAGGTAGATCTGTGTATAGTGATATGATATTCGTCATACTGGCGTTGGGTGACGGGGGAATTGATCATCGAGCGAATCTCCCCTTCCCTCCTTCGCTCCTTCGTATACTCACTACCGTTTCCAATACTGTTACCGTGCACACACAACACCACCATGACGAACAAGCCACAGATTGTAGTTCGTATTGACTTTGGTGCAACGTACAGTGGGTGGGTGGCCCTCTTGTGCTTTTTCTTTTGTTTCGACGTTGCTAGAACTAGAATACATTCTGATGATGGCAGGATCGCTTGGTCTCTGACTGGAGTGACCAACGATATTGAAGTGATATCCGAATGGCCAGGTAGAGGAAACAGTATAGCTCAAGATGTACCCTGGCCCTATCAAACAAAAGCTAACTCGGGCAGGAAAGATCCCTAAAGCGCCTACTACGGTTTGCTATGAGGGTGGAAAGGTTCGATGGGTTACGAACTCACGTCCCCGAAGAACGTCATCCACGGAGTCAAAATTCTGCTTGATGAAGACCAGTAGACTTATTTCATCCCTGAAATCTTCTCCAAAAGGCTGCTGGACGAAAGAGGCCCCGTGAGGTGGTAGCGGATTACCTCAACAAGTTAACAAGCCATGGCAGGGAGATACTGCGCCGACGATTCGGACATGCTATCCAGCGGTTGGAAATTCAATATGTACTAACAGTTCCAGCTGTGTGGTCAGACAAAGCGAAAGATGCTACTCGGTTGGCGTGTTCAGCTGCAGGTATTCCACTATCTGATATCTACCTCATATCCGAGCCGGAGGCCGCCGCGCTCCACTGGTTAAGAGTTATGTAGTCCAATACCATCCAGGTTATTCTGAATCTAATGGTGCGAGAGTAACGGGACGCAAACCTTTGATCTATAGAATGGGGATATCATTGTGATATGCGACGCTGGTGGTGGAACGGTTGTAAGTGATGCAGGTTACACTACGAGGGGCAACATACTAACCTAATGAGGACGTAATATCGTACTGCATAAAGACTGTTAGCCCACTTGGTCTCGAAGAGGTGACCCAAGGTACTGGTATGTGTTGTATATTCCTGTTCATGGCTTAGGAACGACCTAATCGTTACAGGGGCTGCCTGTGGATCAATCTTACTAGACGTGAAATTTCTGGCATTGCTGAAGGAGCTCCTCGGAGATACTGAATTCAGGCAGGTTTCCTGCATATCTATGCAGGCTGCTATGCCTTCTTGGCAGGACAACATCAAGTCCAACTTCATGTTCGACGAGGGTGACGATGACGAATTCCAAGAGATCGGACACCTCATCCCATTGCCTGGTGTGGAGGATAAGCCATCTATAGGCCTTGAAGGTGGCTTCCTTGCACTTGACAGGTTAGTAGTGGTCTCAGTGTTCGGGAGCGATCTGGGGACAGAGTATCTCTATCGGCGACTCAAAGCAGCCTGTCCGCATACTCCTGTCATGTAACCAGCAGATGCGTAAGTGAACCCTCAGAGCTGCGTGTGTGAGGATTATATTCTAATTCAATCTACAGATGGTCCGCAGTTGCCCGGTAAGTGACCCTTGCGGCTACGAATCTGCATCGTGATGCTAAAGTCGTTGAAAGCGGTGCCGTACAACGAGGCCTGGATGGGAACCGAGTTGGGAAGCGTATTGCGCGATGCTACTATGGAGTAAGCCACTGGTCGCGCTACGAACCTGGGCGCCACAGGCCCTCTGAAATAGTCTGGTCGGAGCTTGAAGAGGTTTACTGGGTAAAAAACCAGATAACATGGTTCATCATGAAGGTACCTAACTCTATGACCCTTGATACTATGTGGAAACAACACTGAACGTGTTGCTGTATGGATAGAACGATACAATATCCGAAAATACACCACTTAGACACCCTTTAAAACTTCATGTACGCATTAATGAAAAGCGAAGAAGTTCCCAGAATCTGTTCGTTTGTTACGCCGACACAGCACCAGATAAGGTCACCGAAGGTTAGCTGGAGTGATCTTTACACCTTATAAGATAAGGTATAGACAGCTAACGCTGAAAGAAAGATACATTCAAGCTGTGTGTGATGAAATATGATCTTAACGCAGTTCCGACCAAGCTCTTTTCGAAGCAAAGGAATTCCAAAGGGATTGAGCATTACACGATTGATGTAGTCGTTCGGCTCACACCAACATCTGCATCACTTTTGTTTGAGATGGAGTTTAATGGTGTGCCCTATGGATCGGTAAGGACTAAAGATTGAGTATCCCTCTTCTTCACGACCTTTGCTTGTTGTTTTGCTTGGAGGTAATGCGTATGCAGTGTTTAGTTTGAATTTCAGGTAGTTCTTGCACTGCCGCTCGTCTTCTCTATAACTGTAGTTCGAACCATTATGAAGCCCTTTGAATTCAATAATTTGGATATTAGCCTTAGTGTAAAAGAATGTACATGAATCGAAGTCTTCACCTCCAGGGTATCAGAGGCTACAGATACCTAGCCCCAGGACATGGATCTTTAAAACTGCCCACTATAACACCAATGCCCGTCCCATACTCAAAGATAAAGAACCTTTGTCTTGAAAAGATCGCAAATTCCATTATATGTCCCCTGATCCACGACCATCATACTCACCCACCGTGACCCGCTGGCCTAATATAACAACCACGACCGCTATCAGTGCCACATCTACCCCGGGGGCAACTCTCACTTCCCACTTCGGCCGACATCGAGACAGAGGCTGCGGCCCTTCAGCAAGCTCGGCGGGGTTCGTCACTAGACGGATATGCGCCACGATTCGGTCCCCAAGCACCAAGACCTGGGTATGATGGTACGGGTCTTCGTCGCGGACTTCGAGCATCAGCTCGTCGGAACCAGGTAGACAAACGTCATTATTGTCATCGCCGTCAATCCGGCCCTTCGCTTTCCGTTTCCTAGCATCCCTCAGTCTCCGCTGTTCAGACGCAGCAGCATTCCGGAACCTGACAACCGCCTTCGGCGCTCGAACCGCGACCCTCAACTTGGCAGACAATATAACATGTTCCATTTCGCCCGGTAGCCTCAACTCCAGACACGAAGAATTATACCACCGCCCCCGCAGCTCAAAAAGCGGCAATCCAGACCGATCATAGAAAACCCGTCGCTGCCCAATACTCCACGGATACCCCTGGACCGAGAATATTGTCTGGCCCTCATGCTCGACAGTGTAATCCAACGAATGCCATGGCTCGGGGCGATTCTTCACCGTGACGAGTATTTCAGAACGTGATATGCTCTCGGGTCGAAGCGCAATGGGCCTCGGCGGCGGACTCAGACGATAATGTGGGGTTGCGCCGTTGTCGTCCATTTCTCTCTTTGCGTGTATCGTATGTGCGGATGCCGTAGACAAGAATTCTCGGTGTTGGAAGCCATTTTGTCCAACCCGGTGTCTGGTGTCCCTTTCTCCTGGTAATATCTTTCTTACCCTGTCCCTTCCCCCCCTTTTTTTTCAGTTTTGTGTATGTGGTTATTCGGCACGCTCCTTATAAGGCGTATATGCGTGTCTGCCTCGCACATGCCGTGTCAAGGCCGGCTGCTGGTCCTGTTGGTTTTTGGGCCTCCGTGATTGGCCGGCGGTCGAACGGTGGATTTGTGTTCCACTGGATGGGCTCTCGGGATGAAGATTAGCTTGTCATTAGGGAGCTTAGGGGGCCGTGGTTCCGGTGGATTTCTCGAATCAGGGCGTTCGGATTGGATGAAGTACCCATTCCTGACTCGATTCCTGCCTGCGCTTTTACTGAATCTGGTAACTCGTCAGTTTCCTACCTGTCACTAGCGTCGCCCCCAGAAGCGACGAAGAAGGACGATGTCGGGCTTAGTTTGATACTTGGATGCCTGGTGTTTGACGGGTGGGTCCCGTCGTGTTTAGGCCTTCTGGCTTCTTTTACCTGGCGTACGTGAGTTGAGGCGCGGCGGGATCATGCGCTGTCAGCAGCCGTTGGATTCTGGTTCGTGGGGTCCTGTGGCCTCGGCCGTTAGAGGGTTAGATTTAGAGGTGGATTGTTCTGTTGCGAGGTTGTTTTGTATGGCCGCCTCGGGTTGATGATGATGCTATTCATAGAGTGACGGGGCGGGACTGCGCTGTTGTTTTCTGCTTTGCTTTTCTTTTCTCGCATTTCTATTTCTGTTTCATCGTTCCCTCATACTCACTATTTCGAATAGGTGTTCCCTGAGAGTGGCTATGCTGTCCTAGCTCCTATGTTAATGTTATACATGGAAAGCCAGGGATTGGATTCCTGCATTGCCATTGTGACATGTCACGCGCAAGACCCTGCCTCGGCGAGTATGGTGTTAGATGAATCAGGTACAAATTCAAGGAAGTCGTGTACTCAAATGACATCCCGTTAATTTAGTCATTGATATTCGGGGATATGCATCCCTCTAACCTGTACAGGTCACGAGACCAGATACAACCCTCGACAGGGATCCCATCCAGCCAACCTCACCAATACGTCGCCCACTCACTCTCACCATTAACTACCTTCACAAACTCCTCCGCAATAAACCGGTCCGTCGTCTGAGACGGATGCAATTCGTCAAACCACATGAAGTTCTCCTCATCCGGCAACCGAACACAATCCTCGCCCCCGGCATTACAATGCTTCACGAACCCAGTCACATTGGCACCCACGTCCCCGAACCAGGTATCCGGGTTATAGTAGATATCAGATAACTATCGATCATCAGCACCCTCCTCATCAATCACAAACCACAAGTGTCAAAAAAGAAATAACTCACCAAACCATACATATCCATAACGGCAACCCCAGCTCCAGGATACCGATCCGCAACCAAGACCTCAAACGGCGTCCTATACCGAAACACGTCATTAACATTGACCACCTGCTCCCACATGCGGTAGCTAATCAAAGTCTGGTTCGCAGGCTTGTCGGGCCACCACGAGACGCTCTCAACACCCCCATTGCTCCGCAAAGCATACTGCGGCGTCAACTGCAACGGGGCCAGGTTCATCAACACAAAGTACCGCGCGCCGCTCTCATAGATGCGATCCAGTGCCTCATACACACACTCTACGTAATCCGGGATGACCTTCCCCCGGACCTGCGAATCAGTCAGAAAGGCATAATTGCCGAGATCGTTCGTCCCGATCCAGATGGCGTAAACGGTGTCGTCGGCCGGGATGTCGAGGAATTGGTTCCCCTGCGCGTCGACATACTGGCTGTCTGCCAGGAAGGCCGGGATCTCATACTCCAGAACGGATGGGTAGGAGATGTTCAGGCCGGACATTGTCCGTGGGGTGATTTTGTTCGAGCATGCGCCGCCGCTGACGGCGTAGTTGTGTCGCGTTGCGTTTGTCGCGGTCGCTACGTAGTGGCCCCAGTTGTAGCCGCCGGAGGCAGAGGAGTTGGCCTGCTTATGGGTTAATGGGGATTGGTTTGGGTGTGCTGGTTATGTGTACGTACCACGGGCTGTGTCCATCCTACTGGTGGTGCGGATGCGTTGTGCGCGTAGAAGTACGATGCTCGCGTGTCGTCTGTGTAACTGTCGCCGAATGTGACGAGGTTCTTGAATTCTTGGGGCCCCATTTTGGAGTAGGCTTTGCTAGGGCTAGGCCTTGTGTTGCGGCTAGGATGCCTAGGAGGAGTGGAAGGGTCTGCATGGCGGGTGTTTGTGAATGACTATGAGTTCTCGGGCATGACCACAATCGGCGGGAGGAAGGTAAATAAATATAGGGACATATAGAGCTGCATTACTCAGTTAAAATACCCAAGCTTTACGGCCGTGGCTCCGGATCTCCGAAGCCTTGTTTACGATGCAGGACGGGGATGCGGGGAAATGGCTGCAATTACTGGACGGATAAATGCAAGTCTCTACAGAAGGGTCAAGGATCCACAAGTCGGTGAAATTGGACGGTGAGGGGTATGCTGCACACATCTATTTGCTCCCGGAACTTTTTTATACAGTCTGCATGGTTGGCATTGGTCAATGCTGCCCGTCGAACTCATTCACTGTCAAGCGCTGGATACCCCCTTCGATCCACTCCAGTGGTGCCACGAACGCCATCTGACTCCATGATAATAGCCGGTTTTTGCCACCAAATACCAGCACCTCAAAGCGTCCGACGAATCCCTCGTTGACCCAGACCCGACTGCCACCGATCATGTCGGTCCGGATGGTGATGTGGCTCTGCAATGGAACGGTCACTGGCTCGTGGGTTGAGGAGGTCTCGTTCGTCCAAATCCGACCTGGATAGCTCTCGTCGAACCCATCTGTTTCCTCTATGGAGCGCAAGGGGTATTCCCAGCCGTCCGAGACAAAGGTCAGGTCGCCATCTGGCGACAATACCAGGTTCGAGTCGTTTGACGACAGGGTGAATGGACCAGAAACATTGAGAGTCAACTCGTAGTTCATCCCTTTGCTGCCATATCCTAGATGGATTCTGTCGCTGTTTACATTCTCCAAGGATCTGGTCCAACTTAGCAGTTCATGGGCATCCTTATTCTGGCGGGGAACCTGTCTGTCTAGGTTCTGAGCCACGGCCCGCGAGGTTAAGAGCTCCATCGAGTCTGACAAAGTGGATACATTGATACGGGGTCCGCGGTTTCCAGCCCACGCCCTCGCTGCGACAACGGGAATGCCATTGCGGATCGCATAGTAAGACTCCAACTGTGTCGTCGCATCCGGCCCATTGTCATTCCATGCGGCCAGGATGGCACCCTTGACGGGCTTCGGGTCAGGCTGCTCGGTGACGTTCACGGGGTTGAAGAGAGCTGGTGTCCACTGCCATCCGTCTCTCTCCGCAAAGTTGAGTACCCTGGAGTTATTAAAGAAATCTGGATACGGGGCTGGGAATATCGGCATGTGGTCGTTTTTCAACGACATGTAAGCCCACCAATCCTCTGAGTTAATAATCTCGTAGCCCTGTTCGGCCAAATCGACCGGGTCGGATTGGCCGTACTGCCAATGTTGAATAATGACATCCTTTGAGATGTTGCGGGTGTCGGATGGTTCGTATGTACCCCAGATCCGGACCGTCTTGTCGGCCGTTTCGTCCATGAACTCCGCCATCTCGTTGACAAAGTCAATGTAGTCGTCTGCGAGTGTGGAATCGTACTCATCAGCACCGATATGGACCTCCTTTGATTGGAACCATGGCAGAAACTCCGTCCAGATGGACTTCACCAGGGGAATAGTCTCCGGATGGGACAAATTCAACAGGTCTTTGCTGTCCAAGGCCAATTCTGGCTTCCATTTCGTAATGAATAAACTGTGGCCAGGCGCTTCGATTTCTGGGACGACAGTCACGCCTCGTTGCGCACAGTGCTGCTGAAGATCCTCAAAATCTGCCCGCGACAGGGTCTCATTGGGTCTCTGCACGAGACCCTGCAGCTCAGGGCTCTCCGGTCGCAAGGAGAACTGCGCGTAAACATCTTGCCAGGTCTCATTGTGGCCACGACTCAAGGGGTAGTTGTCGCTAGTATGGTATTGAAATTCCGACAGCTTGAAAAACGACGCATACGTGCAGAGGTCCTTGAGGTATGATGGTGAGTACCATTTCCTTCCGGCGTCTAGTAAGAATCCTCGCGTTGGATACGAGGGCGCGTCAACCACCTCACCCGATGGGATTGGGTGGGTGTGAGCTATCAACAACTGTTGCAGCAACGTTCGTGTTCCCCACCACATTCCTCGAGCGCCTGAGCCACGGATCAAGACGCGTCCAGACTGTACCTGAAGCTTGTAGCCCTCTTCCGTGGGATCGCCATTCTCATACGTCAGCGCGCCTTGCGAGCAATCGAGTCTGTCAAGGAAAATGCCTGTCTGGCCTTCGGGTAGCTCCTCAACCGGGTGAAGATTCCATGACTCGCCCGTTATTTCCTCCAAGTCCTGGCGAAAGGTATTTGCAAATTCATTCGCCGATGGTGGAATAAGTGTCAGGCCATTTTCGTCTCTATCCGACGCGAAGCTGTTCGTGATGTAGATATTTCGGTCTATTGTCGCAATGTCGAAGCCATCGTGTCCAGAACCCAAACTGGCCCATTGAACCGGTGGAAGGGACTGCAAGGCCGCGACAGCTGCAATCAGCGAAAGCAAAATAACTGACCACATGGCGGACGCTGGTTGTGAGGAGATCTGTGGGACAGGCGAACGTGGGTCTGTTATACTGTCTGCCATAAAATAAACAAACCCCGGAAATTCCCCAGACGGATCGACGGTTACATTCCGTGGGGGCGTATCGACTTCTCGTATTTTCTCAACGTTGCATTCCGATCGCAACCACATTCGACATCAATGCTATTGTTCCTCAGAAAGGTGACATTCCTCTCTGCTTGGCCATCTTAGTCATGTCGCTTGCGGTCATTTGTTGCTTGTTATTGGCTTGAGAGCCTTACTGCGATCAGACCTCCGAAGCTTTCTGTTCCTCTTGCTCCAAAGTGCCTTTTGTTTCAATGATAAGTTGCAACAAACTCGGTTATCTCAATCCAATCTATATTGGCATTCAAGTCATGAGAATAGTGTCGCGGGAGGAGCATGCATTGAGCCGTGACAATCCAGGCACTCAAATGGGACGACAGGTACGGGAAAGGGAGAGGAAAGCAGAAGATCTCAATCGTAAAAGAATGAGCTCCTTGTAATCGCATGAACACATATTGTAGTTATACTCATATGGCGCTGGTTAAACGTGGTAGATACTACGCAGTGTGAATACTGTGAAGCTGCCCCCACGGCCTCTAATGCAGCTAGACTATTCGAGTATAGCGCACCTTACAGCAGGGTAACACTCCACACTCTCGCTAAAACCCGAAGACAGGGTGAAATACGAGTAGCATCAGAGACTTTGACGTGTCTGTATGCATGACCACGCTCGCAGGACGTATCTCTCGTGCGGTAGTAACCCCTGAGTAACATCATCTGTTTTCCTTGTACGTCCGCATGGACTATCTCTACTTTCGAAGTAAAGAGATCGTCACTATTTATGGGCGAGCATCAAGCGGTATGGGTGATTCAAGGCCATGAACGAGTCTTGTTGTCCCAGGCATGGCATCAACGTATGAACTGGTGCCGTAAAACAATCCCAAAGACGTGGTATTATAACACCATGGTCGTTCAGCGTCGATGATCTGTGAAATGTTAATATCATTGGAGGACATGTTTCCTCGAAGTTCTTCGAGCGCTCTTTTCGGGGGTTAAGGGATGAGTGAGATAGGTGGCATGCCCTCCTTGCATTGTCCACGTTTGAGAAACATGAGAAGATACGACATGGTCATCACCTCTATAGCCCCGATTGCGTTCACATGTGCATGTCTTTCCAATTTGAGAGTCTCCCCTTGAGTAATAGCAGTTCAGGAGGGCAGAGGAGAGGCCAGGGAGTCAGGGACTTCCCAAAGCCCAGGTGACACGGCAGGCTATATTGCGAGAGTGCCCCTGGGATGCTTGATCCGTGACGGGAATCAGCCACTCGGTGTTTAGAGCATAGTAGTGAGGCAACATCCTTACACGGCATGGTGGAAAGGTTTAATCACAGGATGTTGAAGGTTTTGTAATTTCCTGATCGTTGAGATAGTCCCGGCGCGGAGAGTTTCCTCGTCTAGAAGCTTTCAACTGCAGCCATCTACAGCGAAAATCAGAGCAGTGAGTATACACCCCCTGAATAACTCTCAGTACATAGCATTTGTAAGCATCGGGCCGTTATGGAAAGACAATCGAACGATGTACCCAAGGCTCCACTCACAGGACTCCGTACATAAAGTATCAGGAGCATAGACACGGCTCAGAAGGATCATTGTTGCCGGATCACATGCAGAACCTTCCCCTGGAACCGGCAATATAAGTGATGTTTGTGGATACATAAAAGGTGCGATATAAGACTAGGAATCCTGAGTGCTTGGAACGCGGGGGCAATACCCTGATCGACCAACCCTTGACTGCGGCATTAAATCAATGGCAGCTACAAGATCAGCATTGGCATACCAAATGCGGCTTAGGATTGAAATCCTTAATTAAGAATAACTTGGCGATGGATGTTCTCGTCGTGCTCTGGGATATCCGCAGCGGAGAGAAAAGAATCTTAGGGAAGGCTTTCTACGCAGGAAGTGGGTAGACTCCGCTTGCCAGTGCGCTAGACTAAACACGTTAACCCTCACTTTTTCCCTTTCGGGCAAAATCCCCATGTAGCGTACCTATTCTTTCTCCTTTCTGACTAAACTAGCGTTGCCATCTAGGACAGGGTCGTGATTTCAGTCTTTGCCCTGCAGGCTGTTCTATTCCACCCGGGCATAGAATATAGTAGAACCAGATAGTTAGTTACCGCAAGCTTTTTCATTATGTAAGTAGATGTCAACGGCCTAACTTGACTACCTGCAGATACTATGTTGGGGCCACATACCATCGCGCTATAATGATATACAAAACTGATCGCGCTTCCGAGCAGTGCCGTACCGTGAGCTGCCAAGAGATACCGACCGTACTTTCAATATCCGAACATCCGGGACGGTTTCATGTCAAGCGGCAGTTCAAACAGAAATCCTTCCAAGTTCACCGCAGGTCACAGATCCCGAGCCTGTAGTAGTCTAACCGTTCGATGCGTTTGAAACGGGCTCAACCTTAAAAATCGAAAACGTACCACCAGGAATCTGGCGATTCGGTAGGGCTTGGAACCCCTGAAACGCCGTTGATGCCAAGAGGTCGCATGTACTAGGGACTCGTCCCCACTTCCACGCTCCTTAATTCCTGTGTTAATCCTCTTAGCCCCGTTCACTTGGGGCTTTGGGCTTGGGCGTCCATGGAAATGTGTCATAATTGCCATGCGCTCCCACTTATCTCGTGTTAATGTGGATTGAGTCCAGGATGGAAGGTAGTATTCTTCCGGGACCCTGAAGCTAGCTAAGGCTGCTAAGCGTTTCAGGTGCGGGATGAGGGAATCAAATAGGGTGCCTGTTTCTTAGCTAATGGGTCTGGATGGATCTGCCTCATGACCCCCATATGCTGGGGTGGAGCGCGGAGGATACTTACTTCTATACTATCGAGGGTTATGCGGCGGGTGTGGTCTCGGAATTTTCTCGATCTTAACTTACTTTTCATATAGCACGATATGTTCTCACCTTAGATCTGCTAGCCTGTTGTAGCCATGATCTGCCTCATCTAGTCTAGATCTCGAGGCCCCATGGCCGTTTAATTTACCTGATTCTTGCCCAGGAACCGTCCGCATTACCGTCATTGGCTGTTGATGGCACTTTCAACCCATCATGGGACACTGCGGCAGATCTATAGCCGCTGACCCATTGTATCAAGTGCCAGCAGCCGAGGCCACGATGGCGAGGAGGATAAATGTATGCATCAGAAACAAATGAATCGATTGGGTAACAATGTAACCATCAGAAAAATCCATTAGCCAATGTGAAATGTCAGGATGAGTCGATGATCTTTCTCAAGGTCGTACAATGTATAAAACCAGGCCTGGGACCACACTTCCGGTGCCTTCTCTTATCCATCCATTCCTTCCTTTCCTTTCTTATCTTCTCCCTCCTTTTCTCCGTTCAGGATGTCATTCATTCAACTCGTTCACTTCTTCGGTCTTTTGACCTTGGCTGCTGGCAAGCCGATTCTTATTCCGAGGCAAGCTTCGGGAGCGCCGCAGGACGGTGCTCGCAACCTGATTGATGTTCAGCTGCAGGCGCTCGGAAACTCGACTGTTAAAGCCTTCATTACCAACATTGCCGATGAGAATCTCCGTGTTGTCAAGAGGGGTGGTCTCCTCGATAACGAGCTTCCCACTAAGAAGGTGGTTGTGTCTGGATCTGGTACGTTCACATCTTCATGTGCATCTCAGCTCAAAATGATTAACAAAAGAGAAAAGGTGGCGGCCCAACTTTCACTGGTGCGGAGGTCGACTACATCAACACACACCTGAGTGATGACGCCTTCATGGAACTCGCCCCTAAGCAAACAATCGAGTCCATCTTCGACATCGCCGACTCCCACGACCTTGCCCCCGGAGAGAAGTACTCCGCGATCGCGGATGGCATGCTCGAATACACGAAGTTGAAGGACCCCAAGAAATTCTTTGTCGTACCTTACACATCCAACACCATCGATTTCGATGCTCCTGAGGACTCTGCCAACCGCCTTACTACCCGCGCCACCCTCGAATCCTGCAGTGGCGAATACAACAAGCTGATGCAGGATAACCTTGCGCAGGCCGCCAAGATGGCCGAGGCCGCTGCTGCCGATGCCCGCGACGGCAGCAGTGGACTGTTCCAGAAGTTCTTCAAGTCCCAGGACGAGGCTGACAAGAAGGAGGTTGCGGAGCGCTTGGAGGCTATTGCCAAGGAAGCAACATCGAAGGGCACATTGACCTACTACTGTCAGCCATCGGCGCAGGATTCCTGCGGCGGCAACATTGCGGCCATTACATACCCAACACTAAACCGTGTTGTCAACTGCCAAGCATATTATGAGACGCAGCAGGTGGTGAACGAGTGTGGATATCTGGATCAGGCGGCTATCTCGCTCCATGAGTTCTCGCATGCTACTAGTGTCTATGCGCCGGGTACAGATGATGTTGTGTATGGACTTGATGGTGTGCTTCAATTGAGCACTGCGCAAGCCAAGAATAACGCCGATTCATTTGCTTACTATGCTAACAGTAAGCTCTCTTGCCATTGGTTGTTTAGGAATTTGTGCTGACTATCCTTGTTTAGGTGTTTTCAACAACTGCAGTGCTGATGGTAGCCAAAATGGAAACTCTGGTACTCAACCCGGCTCTTCAAGTGGAATGAATAATGGAGGTGGTTTTACCATCCCCTGGGGACAGGGAACTGGTCAAGGAAATGAGCAGGGAGCCAACCAGGGAGCCAACCAGGGAGCCAACCAGGGAGCCAACCAGGGAGCCAACCAGGGAGCCGGTCAGCAAACTGGTGGTCCAACTGGAATGGAAAATGGAGGCGGCTTTACCATCCCCTGGGGACAAGGAATTGGTCAAGGAAACGAACAGGAGGTTAGTCAGGGTGCCGGTCAACAGACCAACCAGGCCGGTGGTATGGCTCCTTGGGGACAGCAAGATAGCACCACGCAAGGCACCACACAGCCCGGATCCGAATGGCCCGCCGGCTTCGACAACCTTCCCTGGTCCTTTAACAACCCCGATCAGGGTGCCCAGTCCAATGGCGGTCAATTTTCCAACGAGTGGCAGCCAGTTTCGAATGAGTATGAGGAGGTTTCGAGTTCCCCATCTGGTTACTTTCCCGCTGGTACCTTCGAGGCCCCTGAGAGATCGCAGGTTTTTGAACTTGGTGAAGGAAGTGGCTGGTTCAAGAGGGATCAGTAGGTCAAACGATGCATTGGTCCATCGGTGACAATGGGGATAGCATATCAACTTCGTATTCATAGGGTAGTAACTACTAGAAAGGCAATTACAATAAAATAAATATAAGGTGAACCATCATCGAAGGGCAAATCTCAGAGAAACAGAAAAAGGCCAAGTAGCAAACAACAGCTGGGCTGGCACACTGTCAGCCGCTATTGGGGGTGAGATTCAAAGAAACAAAAGACAATAAAACAAAAGAAAGCACCATTGCTCAGACTCCATTATACAACTGGTGTCCCGCAAGGGTAATATCTCCCTTGTGAATATCCTTCGGGTCCACATAGTCTGCTTTGATGTGGCGCGCGGTCAACGCAAAGCGCAATTTGGTGTCAGGAACAACCTCATGCTGAAGGGTTGTCAGAATTCTGAATTTCTCTGTGTTATCTCATAGCCATACCTCATAGTATCTCTGCAGGCTTTCACCATGCATTACAACCATATCTCCGTGGTGGAGATCCAATTTAATGCACGGCTTCGCTTCGCCCCGGGTGCGGTTTCTCTTGAAGAACTCGTTCCGGTGCTTATCATACTTTGGTCGTGTGATTACTCCATCCTCGAGTTCGGCTTTCCATGCCTGTCTTTGTAATTGAAACGCACAGCCTGGAAGCACCGGATCATTCTCAAGTAGAATGTTCCTGCTACTCTGGCCCTTGTAGTACTTGGATTTCATACGGATCTGCATTGTAGAGCGAGCCCCCAGCGAGAGTGTCGCAATGGTAGGGCCAAGGGACGTTTCGCCGTCGTCGTGATACTAAAGGTGTTAGCATCAGCTCTATATATATTTGACTGCCTTTGTCTCCTTCTCCACCTTGGCATAAATAATCTCCTTGAAGGATGGAAAATGAGATCGTACATACCCCGATCTTCATCTCCGCAAAATAACCCAACACTAGCATTTCATTCGGCAGATAGGGCGTATCTCCAACCAGATGCACAGCTTGTTCCGTTGCCCACTGCAGACGGCCCAATGCATCTAGAACTACCCCGGGCGCCTCGTCGAAGCCTTTGCAATTCACTGGCGCGACATACTTATACGGGTTTCCCTAAAACGACGACATCAGATGATTTTGACCATACAAGACTTCACTGGGTCAAACTGACATAGTTTACTGCAAAGTGCGCGGTAAGCGTCCCAGTGACTATAGAGAGATTCGTTAGAAGCTCACCGTGAAACATATGCAATTCATGAAAAAATATGGAAACTTACCTACGGCATTACTCAAAGGAAATCTCTGCAACCCCAGGTCAGCCAGCTGCAATTGTGTAAAAATAGTGTTTGGTCCGTTAGGGCAATCATTTATGTCTCTATTCGACACCAAGTGCGTGATATGACCGACTCCTGGGATAGTATAGACAAGCCTCCTATATGGAGCTAGTGAGTCATCATCAATGACTGGAGTCATGAACCTGTCATCAGGAGTATAGGCTCGCTTCTGAGGAGCAATTTCGAGCGTATTGATGACAGATCGTAGAGACACGATTGGCATTTGCATCAACTTCTCAAACGTGCAGAGAGGCTTAGGTTGGTCCGAAATAGAGGTATCATCGTCGCTACACTTCCAGCCTCTCCAATACTTTCGTGAAATACACTTGCGGCACTGTGGGCATACAATCCCTTTCCAAGCCAATCTACTGGTGGCTGTACTTGCATCATCTTCGTCAAAAGTGCTAAGCAAATCTGGTATCAGGCTGTGGTGAGGTTTTATGGTAGAGTCTGGGGCCATCCGACAACTCAGAAACTTTTCGTGGTAAGTGAGGTTTGCTGGAGCGGCCGATGCTCCAATTTTGAAGAAACGGGTGCAAGATGGTTGTAAACACATCCAGCCTTGATGAAATACCTGGACGCTTCTGTGGCTACATGCATTGCATTCAGCTGAGTTTGGTCTGCTTGCAAAATCGCGTTCTCCTAGAGGCGGCGGCGATGCCGACTCTTTGTCTGCCCACCAGCTCTTGCTCTGGAGATCTAACTTCTCATAGCGCACCTTCGCAGCTCTACGATTGTCAACACATTCAAACCAGATGTTCGTGATACGGAAGTAATCCATCACATTATAGGGGTGCGGGACCGTCCTTCCCAAGACAGCGTTATGATCTCCTATCTTATCATTAATAGAGGCCTCTCACACGTTTTGGACGCCATACACCTACCAATGATAATTCCGATAGGAACTTTCTGCTTCATGCTGTTCAAGAGACATTTCACTAGAAGATCTTCCTGCCCTTGGTCCTTGACGCGAACCAAGTCTCCATTCGCATTCCTAGAGCATGAGCCACCACTACAAACAAGTGAGGGATCTTAGCGTGAAAAAGACTCGTGGCAAGTCGAAGGAATTGTACGTACATCCTGGTTATTACAACTTCTTCATCGATATACGAGCGCTCTCCCGAGTCACGACTAATGAGGACCCCCCATGCTAGACCATCTTTATGATATATGCCACCTTGAACGGCTCGGAACCATGGAAGGGTGTCACCTAACTCCGAGCGTACCTTGATAGATTAGTCAAGAAGCACTATGGGAGCAGTGTTCAGCTACATACATTTGCCCATGCTGGCGGTTCCCCATCCACAGTGGGAGCCAATGGAGCTGAAACTGCTGTCGTAGCCCTCTTCCTCTTAGAAGGCATATTTATTTTGAACCTGTGTATAGTATATGTCCTAAGGCCTCCTTGGGTATCGGGGTTTTTGAGGATTCAGGTATACAGGAGCAATTCATAGGAGAAAGATTGAGGTAGATATATTCATATAATCATTGGATAAGGGATATTTAAAACAACAAACTGACACTGTGCTGATCATTCGCTAGTGAGGTGGTGTCGTATTGAATCTAGATCATACTACGTCAGTTGGAGTAAATCTTAAGTCGGGATGATCTATGGAGATTTGGTACCTTGAGTATAAAGTGTGTGAATCTGGACTTTCCGTCCCACCGGTCCAAGGCGAATGAACGGAAAACACCCTACTCCGTGCACAGCCTAATTATTTGAAGGCTTTGTCATTGCGCAGCGAAGTAAACAATATATGGGGTTGCGTGAAAGTGTCTGAGTTCTGGTCGCTCAAACCACATGTAACGTGACTTTTGTTCTGCCGTTCCTCCACTGTTCCTACACTTTCTGTTTATACCACTCCGTACTATGGACTACTAGTACTATATGGCACTATAAACAACCTGCTTGAAATTCTTGGACTACTTATGGCTTCTGATATCACGTGGCGGTCAACTGGTGCCTCAGGCACCAGTTGACATGCCAGTCAGGGGCTTGATTTCATCATTCGGCAAGACCCTCGGCTCGTCCAGGATATCCGAGGGCAATCCTATCCTTCACTAATCATTATTATGCCGAACAACACGGCTTCGACGGGTTGTATGTGCGACAAAGATATGTTCCAAGGGTGAATTTTGTAGAATTAAATAGTTCGGAATGCCCGGATCGACATCATGAATACAGTAATGTATGCATGGAGTGCGAACTTGTATGTAGAGGCGTCAGCCGCGGCTCGGTCATTTCTCCGGGCTTGCTAATCTTAACACCTTCAATGCACGACGAGGGACCGAGCTAAGCTTTCCCCGCACTGGGATTGGAGCGACCCCCGGCTTATTACACTACTCCCCTCACGTCCTATGCGCCTCTCCGTTCTTTTTCATACCAAGTTCTTTTCATTCTTTTTTCTTTGCATATATCTCAATTGTCACACTGTACCCTGCCAAGATGGTCTTCACTCCTCATAAAGGGGCGGGAGAATTACCCGCAATTCCTGATAATATTCCTATCAGCGAATTTATGCTCAACGATCAATATGGAAGAAATCCACTACAAAAGTCAAGAGACCCCTTCACTTGTGGAATTACTGGGAAATCCTACTCAGGAGCCCAGGTAGCGGAGCGAGTCGATTATCTAGCTCGGGCACTAGCAAAGGAGTTCAACTGGTCCCCGAATAAGGGTACCGAATGGGACAAAACAGTAGCAGTCTTCAGCGTGAACACGGTACGTTCTGGAAAATGAATATAGGGTCATTCATGTCTAATCGTCCCCTCATCCAGATTGATACCCTTCCTTTGTCCTGGGCCACCCATCAGTTGGGAGGAATTGTTTCGCCCGCCAACGCGGCTTATTCTGCACCCGAGCTGAAGCATCAGTTGGTTGATTCCCAAGCAAAAGCTCTATTCACTTGTGCTCCCTTGTTGTCCACTGCCTTGGAGGCGGCGTCCTTGGCTGGATTTCCGAAGGACCGTATCTATCTGCTTGAAGTTCCCGCCCAACTCACCGGTGGTGCAAGCATCCCTGCACAATACAAGACCGTGTCTCAACTCATTGAAGCAGGAAGATCATTACCGAAGTTGGAGAGGCTCGGCTGGAGCGCGGGAGAGGGTGCTCGCCGAACCGCATTTTTATGTTATTCCAGTGGAACATCTGGTTTGCCTGTATGTGCACCGCACAATCGATTATGGATCGAGGAATACTGACTATTCACCACAGAAAGGAGTGATGATTTCTCATAAAAATGTGATCGCAAACATTTTGCAGATCTCCGCTTTCGAGAAGGCCCACCGAGATGCCCTCGCAGCACCAGGAGGTCCCCAGCATACCGAAGTCGTACTGGGTCTGCTCCCTCAAAGCCATATCTACGCCTTGGTGGTTATGTGTCATACTGGGCCCTATAGAGGCGACCAGGTGATTGTGTTACCAAAGTTCGAGCTAAAGTTATACCTGGCTGCTATCCAGAACTTCAAGATCGCGTCCCTTTTCTTGGTGCGTACTGTCCTCAGTTGCTATAGTTTCCTGTTACTAATACATTTATCAGGTTCCCCCCATCATCATCACCATGCTCCGAAACCAAGAGGTCTGCAGCAAGTACGACCTCAGCTCGGTGAAATCATTGTTCACTGGAGCAGCTCCTCTGGGTATGGAAACGGCCGAAGATTTCCAAAAGATATATCCCAGTGTTACAGTCCGGCAAGGCTACGGTAAGCTTCTAGTGCGCAGCGGCGAGATATGTGCACAGGTAACTAATACTTCTCCACAGGCCTAACCGAGACATCCACGGTTGTGGCCTCGACTCACCCCACCGACGTCTTCCTTGGATCCTCTGGCAATCTGATTCCTGGCGTCGAAGCACGCATTGTTTCCCCAGAAGGCCAAGAAATCACAAGCTACGACACTCCAGGTGAACTGGTGGTCCGCAGTCCGAGTGTGGTACTAGGATACCTCAACAATGAGAAGGCTAACAAAGAAACCTTTGAAAACGGATGGATGCGCACTGGTGATGAAGCAGTTTTCCGTGTGGGCCCAAAGGGAACGGAGCATGTGTTTATTGTTGACCGTATCAAGGAGTTAATCAAAGTCAAGGTTTGTTATTCCATACCATGGTTTTGCAAAGTTTGAATGCCCCCACTAACAGAAACTTCAGGGTTTGCAAGTTGCCCCTGCAGAGCTTGAGGCTCACCTACTCACACACCCTGCCGTCGCTGATTGCGCTGTCATTGCTATCCCCGACGAAGCTGCCGGTGAAGTTCCGAAGGCTATTGTCGTCAAATCAGCCTCGGCTGATAAGGATGATGAGAAAGTGACACAGTCGATCAAGAAGTATGTGGAAGAGCACAAGGCTCGACACAAGTGGCTGAAGGGAGGTATTCGCTTCGTCGATGCTGTCCCCAAGAGCCCCAGTGGCAAGATCTTGCGTCGTTTGCTTCGGGACCAAGAGAAGGAGGAGCGCAGACGTGCTGGTTCCAAGCTATAGATGGTGTATTACGGGATTCGGTTAGTTTTGCCTCCTCGAGTTTAGCGCCTTGTTCTGTTGCTCCGGCATAAAAGCGCCACGCCCTCTCCATCCTATCTCAGCTTCTTCCTCCTTCATAGAATTGAACACAATCAAGTTTCACAGTTCGATAATGAGTATATATCAATTTCCGGAATAAACAAATATTGAAGATCGGCATCGGTTTGTCCATTGATTGAAGAAGCTGCGGTTGGTCTCCTCCGTACGCGTCGCGTAATGGTCCCGGGAGCCGGTTGGCTGCTTTGAAACCCCCTGTAAGAAAACATAGTCAATAGCATTTCTGGTGTCACGAGGTGAGGTGTAACATATACTACTAAGTATTACTAGTACCTGCTTCCTGGTTTAACGTGCGCGGACTTTTGCTTCACCTCTAATTGCTCGCCCATCGAATATACTATACAAGATGAAATGCCAGCCTCAACAGCTTCTCTTACGCCCCTAGACAAGAATTCAAGATGCACTATGAAGACGAGGACTTCAGATCCGAAGGGAAGCCTGAACCTTACAGTCGCTCCCAGACAGTCATATACCACCTACATGACAAAAGATGGGGGATCTAAGTCACATTGAAGGGCACAATCTCTTCTTTTGGTCACAATACCGAGCCGGGGCAAATCAAATCAAAACGCGAGCGACGAAATGAATTTCAAGACTTTGTCGCTATGACCGATTTTCATTCGCTGGCCCTTTTGTATGATACTGCCAGTGTGACTGAACTTGTTTTGAATGACGAAACGAAAACAGTCAACACTGCAACCCTGCATCTCGAGCCAGAAGATGCCAGCCAGCCCGCGAGGTTCATCAAAAACATGCGATTCTATATCCAAGAGGACCCCATAAGAGTGAAATACCTCCAATTCCCGTCTTTTCGAGCCGTCAAAGCCACAGAATTGATACAGAAGATTGAGATGACCGACGGAGTGTTTTGTGTTCTCCACAAAGGCGACAGAACGCCGTATATTTTCAAGGTAGTTAACCGTCCTTTGTACCACCCACGGGATACGGAGTTTATACAACAAGAACTAGCAAACCTCGAAAGGTTCAGGGGCATGAGAGGCATAGTAGAGCCTGCTGGCGTCGCAGTATTCACCAATTCCTACGCAACCTCCCAGGAAAGCAACCAACCGATGGTTATCAATGGTATTTGTTGGAGTATTATAGCGGTGGCTCCTTGAAATGTGTCCTGAAGGGAAAATGTGTCACTGATTTCAGTTGGGAGCAATGGCCTATTCAAATAGAGAATGCCTTGGATACTATGCACCGCGCGAAGAAACCCCGCATGGACTTGAAGCTATCAAGCATTGTTTTAGACAACGATGGCAATGCGGTTCTCATTGATATTAGCGGTATCGGTGGCGTAACGCATGAATGGCGAGCTCCGGAGACACGAGATGAAATATCACCCTTTGATCTCCCATTTCAAACACATCGATTGAATGATATTTGGGCCTACGGGAAAGTTCTGAAAGAAATCGCGTCAAGCGTCGAAGACGGCTCCTTTACAAAGACTCTTAACATGGTTGCAGATCATCTAACTCAAGATGTTTCTATCCGTTGGACTCTATCTCAAGCAATTTCCCAGTTGAAGACTTGTCATCAAAGTGATTGATCCCAATACATCGAGTCTATTTGGGATCACGAGGGAGATGTTCACGTCGGGAACCTCTCGCTGTCTGGGAAATTGACAATTTTTCGTTGGCACATTCAAACATAATCCTATTCTACATCATCCTCGTCAAAATCACCATTCTTCCTGGAGCCTGCATACTTCATGATCTAGTTATCTCAGTTGAGGTTGCGTCGAAAAAATGTTGGTTTGATAAACCAAGCACCGTGAAGGAACTCCTTTATGTAGATGAAGGAGCATCCAATTCTCCTCTATCGCGAATAGTTGAGGCGCTTGAACAGTACGTCGATTGACGGCTACGAACTCCTATCCCTCTCTTCTCCTCATTTTCGTGCCTCTTGATGCAGACCTATCACGTTGCTCTGCCAAATAACCGTCAGGAAAGCCCGCGCTGCTTCCAAGTTCGTAGTGCATGGTCGACAAACTCCACCAGTAGCTACCGTTCAAAAGCTGTCATTTTCAGCGTCGATTTCACAGGTCCTCATATTTAGTTGTAAGATTCCTTGGTTAGCTTTGATCAAATAGAATTTACTACCTACGCTTTGCATCCATATGTATTTTGTGTCGTCATAACTTTCTTCTCGCTTACTCATTGTACTTTTGTTGTTCAGTGACATGTATAAATGCACTTGATCAACCAGGGCTATTCTCCCGTGAGCAATATATATTTACCTCTAGATACGGAACATATTATTTCAAAGAACGCAGCCCTGAGAGTAGCTGATCATGAGAGAGCATTAGAACGAATCTCTAGCCTATCAAAATAAAACAGATACTATTTCAATCTCCAGTTGTCTGGCCCACTTGAATATTTTGGAACATTCATGGCGGTTCGTGAAGCATTGCGATTATAAAGCAATCGGAGACTTAGGCACTCTGTTTGCAGTGTTTGACTTGAGCGCGGGGAGAATTTATCGAATTTCTAAGCGCGGGGCCTTATCGTCATAATTTACTGAGCAGCTAAAAATCTCCTCGCAGCTCGTCAATTGTCGCAAAGTTTTTTTTTCGTGTTCTGCGACGTACATGACTGAAAGGGAGACTCGTTATATTTAAATTCCCCTCCTCCGCAGTTTCCTCAATTGGACCTTTCTCTCTCATCATAATACCCCTCCAAGTCAATAGTACTTGACGTTTTTACGATACGATCGATATAACCTACACAATGTCTTCTTCTCAAGATCCCCACCGCGAGGCGGACGATGCCTATGTGGATGCTGATGAGGCAGAGGAAATCTTTCAGCGCGATGAGGACCACCCCATGGATTCCGACGGCGAGGATGGCGACGAGCCCATGACCTTCGAGCAGGAGGAAATTACCCTGGAGAACGACTCTTCCGCTCATTTTGATCTTCACTCAGACTCGCTTTTCTGCATTGCTCAGCACCCTGTCCACAACTCTATTGTTCTCACTGGCTCCGGCGACGATACCGCATACATCTTCGACTCCACACCAAACACTGAGCGCCCTCTTCTCCCACAAAGTTACGAGTCGAACCCTCAACCGAAGAAGGAGCGGGTATCCCTGCAGCCTATTGCAAAGATTGAAGGCCACAAGGATACCGTCAACGCTGTTGCGTTCACTGAACCCAAGGGTGAATATGCCGTGACCGCAGGTCTGGATGGCCAGCTGCGCGTATGGCGCGATACTACCCCCCAGTTGACCGGCCAGGCTTGGGAGTTTGTCGCAGAGGCGCAGGAAGTAGAGGAAATTAACTGGCTTGCTGTTTGCCCATGCGAGAAGGGCGATGAGGAGAACAGCAATGTCATTGCTATGGGAGCAAATGACGGTAGCGCTTGGGTATTCCGCATTGACCACAACGACACCGCTCAGCCCATCTCGATCATGCAGACCTTCTTCCAGCACACCGGATCCTGTACCGCGGGTGCCTGGACACCCGATGGAAAGCTGCTCGCGACCGTCTCGGAGGATGGCAGCTTCTATGTGTATGACGTCTTTGGCGCTGCCGCCGCCGCCGGTATCTCTTACTCTGCTGGTACTAGTGCCGTCGTCGGATTGACCCCGGAGGACCAGCGGTTTGCGGTTGATGGAGGACTTTACTCGGTCGCGGTTGCGCCAGGTGGTGGATTCGCTGCTGTTGGCGGTGCGGAAGGTCAAATCAAGATTGTCGGTCTTCCTCGTCTTGCGGCTGGCGGGGCAGCATCTAAAGCGAAGGGCAAGGCGGCCGCCTCTCAGTCAACCGGTGCTGCTGCTGGTACCATCCTGGCCTCACTTCAGGCTCAGTCCGACGGCATTGAGACTTTGTCATTCTCTTCCCCTCCTCTGAGTCTTCTCGCTGCGGGCTCGGTCGATGGATCGATTGCGCTGTTTGACACCGCCCACCGCTTCGCTGTCCGTCGCCATATCAAGGAGGCGCATGAGGGTGCCGTAGTCAAGGTTGAGTTCCTTCAGAGTCGCTCCGCCCCCGCCTCTTTGCCTGCCCGTGGTCCGATTGCATCTGCTGCATCTGGACAGGGCCAACCGTGGCTTCTCACTACCGTCGGCATGGACGGTATCGTAAGGCGGTGGGATGCGCGCGGTGGTACGGCCGCTGCCGCACAGGGTCTGTTGAAGGAATGGAAGGGCCATTTGGGTCTCACGGAGAACTCGGAGGGTGAGCAATCCGGTGGCATTATGGCCTTTGCCCAAAGTCTGGATGGAAAGCGTGTTGTTACGGCCGGTGACGATGGCATCTCACTCGTCTTCGAAGAGTAATTTAGTCAGTCAAAAATGAATATATCGATTAGCGCGATTTGCAAACCATATATGCTTTAACCACAGCCCCAGTTGGCAGGTATCGCGAGCCAGCGCATCACGTAGTACAGTAATTTCAAGCCCCACTCTACAGCAAACATACCAACGCACCAGAACGAAAAAAAATACAGTCTTGATATAACGAAAACCAGATAGATACTATGTACACCGGACAAATTCCAAACAACCCAAGCGCCGACTGTAGAGCAAGGGCGCGCGTCATGACCATCAGAATACTTTATTTCCCGCTCGTCCGAGCGTCCCCAGCACAGATTCACCACATCACACCCCCTTGTATGAAACCCAGATGTCGCATTCTCTCCTGGTATGCGGACATCTTCGCCTGCAATCCGGGGTATCCTCTTCTTTGTAACCCATTGATATCGGTCGGCGATTCGTCGAGATCTCCCTTCCGTTCTCAATGCATTGACGTCAATTGGGCTGGTTTAGTGGTGGCCCTCGCGTGGTGGTCATCATGCTTCATGAAGACGGCCTCGTATGCGCAGTATCCGGCGAAGGCAACGCTGGCAATACCGAAGCCGGGGAAGATACACTTGAAACGGTTGAAGCGGCTGAAGGGGCCGGTGTATCTCCAGGTCTCACTGCGGATGGGTTAGTAAGGGCAATTGGAGAGGGATCATGCGTGAGACGCACTAGCGAGCCCAGGGGTCCTTCTTTGCCCAGACGGACCGGGGCGAAGCAGCGGCCTTGAATTCCTTGATGTCGAAACCGGTGGGGTTCGTGCCGGCCATGGTGAGCGGATGAAATGGAGGACTGAGAAAAGTCGGTGTCAATGGGTAGGCAAGCGAAAGTACAAGAGGTTCGACACCCGAGTCCGCAGGTTCCGGGGTACAATGAGAGGTGGGGAGCAAAACGGGACAAGGTGACTTTTGATTCAATAAGCGGGAGTGGGAGCGAAGTTGAAGCTGTACCGGAACGTAGAAGTTGAGGCTTGGCACGCTAGGCCTAATACGGATGGACCACAGAAGCTGTCCGCCTTCTCGACTCGACTCGACTTGTGAGCGCCTTGTCTGTCCCAGCGCGAAAAAGGCCCGACCACTGCCCTTACCCAACCCCCCATCACATTTCAGATGCATGACGAGCTGTCTACGTTACAGTTTACATCATGCCACCTCCTGTCGGCAGATACGGGCCTACTGGCCTGAGCGCCCCCTACACACACTTACAACAAGCCCACCTTCAACAACAGCAGCAACCTCAACATCATCCGGCTCACGCCCAGTCGGCTAACACAGCTCTTCCGCCTCCCTCCCTTGGCGGCCATCCTGGTTTCGCCGCCGGGAACCCGAATACCAATATCAATCCTTTTACACTCTCCGGAACCGGAATTTCAAACGGCATGTCGGTCGCTGGGTTTGGCGCCGCAGATGGCGGCGGGACTGGCCTCGCCAGCCATGCGGCTCAGATGGGCTTCGCGAGAGGGGCCCAAATGCAGCAACAACAACTCCACCAAGCTCACGACGGCCGGTTAGCGCTCGATGCCAAAGCGGGCGCTGTGAAGACAAGGATACGGGATGTATGGAAGCACAACTTGGCCCAAGAAATGGCCGTGCTACGGCAGTTGGTGGAGAAGTATCCGTATATTAGCATGGTGAGTCCGCGACTAGGTGGCTCCGGGGATTTGCATTGCCAGACGACCCTCGGGGCGGCAATCTCTGCCTGTTTTCTGAGATGTAAAAAAGCTAATGACAACTTAGGATACCGAGTTCCCCGGTATCGTTGCACGTCCCATCGGAGCGTTTACGAACAAGGCGGACTACCATTACCAGACTCTCCGGTGCAACGTCGATCTCTTGAAGATGATTCAACTGGGAATAACCTTGTTTTCTGCTGAAGGAGAGGTGCCCCCACCCAATGCTACGGATGCGAATGGACAGCCCCTCGGAAATAGTCTGGTGCCGGCCCCCTGCACCTGGCAATTTAACTTCCGGTTTTCGTTGGAGGATGACATGTACGCACAAGAGTCCACGGCAATGCTCGCTAAAGCTGGAATCGATTTCTCCATGCACGACAAGAACGGTATTGACCCTTTCGAGTTTGGTGCGCTTTTGATCAGCTCAGGCCTCGTTCTGTTGGATGACGTACACTGGGTGTCATTCCACTCCGGCTACGATTTTGGCTACTTGATGAAGATCATGCTCTGCAAGCCTTTACCGGAGAATGAAGAGGAGTTCCACAAACTTCTCACTATTTTCTTCCCGTCGCTGTATGATATAAAATACTTGATGAAGCATGCCGGACGCAACCAGGCCGTCAATGATACTCCTCTGACGCCAGCCGCCGCCCAGATTCTCACCAACCTTGGTCAAAAGTCTGGACTTCAGGATATTGCCGACGAATTGGGTGTCAAACGGGTGGGTATTGCTCATCAGGCAGGGTCTGATTCACTCGTCACCGGTGAAATTTATTGGAAGATGCGACAGTTGGTTTTCAACGGCAGCATTGACGAGTCCAAGTACTCTGGACAAATCTGGGGGTTGAACGGTCAGATGCCAGCATTATTGTATCAGATGCCCCATCAGACACCCAATCTCAACGGGGCTACAATCTACTCTGCTACTGGCACGCCGAGCACACCCAATGCCGGTACACCTCAGCACCAGGGACTCGGCGCACTGACGCCTGGAGCTGTCGGCGGAGTCTTGGGACAATTTCAAGTTGGGAAAGCATGAACGTCATATAGCTAGGATCTCATTTGTCAATGGGTGTTAGATTCGGTTGGGGGAGTTTATGATACGCTTTGCATCATTGTTCCTCTGTATCTTTCCCTTTGTTTGGTCTCTTTGTATCGGCTTCGTGTGTCTGAATTTAGCAGGGAACTGTCGAGTGTTTTCCCCCCTGGGGGATGCTCTCCAGATCCCTGGACACTATTTGTCTTCTTTACCCTTTACCTCGTTCACAGCGATTGCTTTTTCTCTTTCTCATGGCGGGGGTTGCGGGATGGATATGATCTGACGGATGTACATAGCATGTAGCACCGGGGCGGTGCCTCTATCTCTTCTTATCTTTTTGAGTCGCATTTTCTCGTTGTTTAGGTTTCACATTTCACGGTTCGTCGCCTGAGATGCTTCACATTGTCTGGGAGACGGGTGTTTGCGAAGGGTGTACGGTGTTTGTTATATGGCTGGAATATGATTCTCGTTTCACAGGCGTGCCTTTCCTTCCCAATTGCATACTTGGGCTCCCTTCTTCTATAGCCGTAGATAGCATAGAGCGGGTTGGACGATATTGTAGGGATGTACCTAATTTCGGTGACACTACGAATTGACAGATTGACATATCATATCCGACGGAACACGTCTCCAGGTGGCGGATCGACAAACCGCCAAAGGAATTGAACCCCCCTTACATGGACAGTGTGACCAAGTGGAAGACCGCTTGTCATGAGAGAAGTAATCATATCCGACTGCTTCCCCGCTTTTCAACACGAGTCTCGATCCGAATTCCAACGCATGCCTTCGCCGCTTTAGATCCGTGCCGCTATACCGGATTGGGAAGGGCGATCCGGGTCTTATCGCGTCGTGACGCTTATCGGCTTCCCCAGGTTATCAAGTGAGGCAGCTCAGTGCGTTGCATAACCCAACCATGCTGCAACTTAAAAGGCAAGGGCCCCCTTCTTCGTCATGGACAATTTCTTCGTGTCTTGTATCACTTTCTTGCATTCTCTCTCGCTGTGGGTTACACCGACATTGATTCCCGGGGACTTTACCAAACTATATAACCCCGGTAGACGACCTCCGACTTGAACAGCTCCAATTTACACAAACATCTCGCAACTATTCGAAGACTTGCATAAACCATGGTCCTCGACCGGCTTCAGCAGCTGACCTTGCAGGTCAGCGCTTCGTCTCCTCCCCCTCACCCTTTTGATCCCCTCTCAACGGTTGAAATCGACACCGCTGTCGCTCTTGTGCGCGAAGCACATGGCAAGGTCAACTTCAATGCCGTCACTCTCTGGGAGCCTCGCAAGGCGGAGATGATGGCTGGTTAGCCAATCCGGAGAAGGCTCCCCGCCCTATGAGAGCTGCTGACGTTGTTGCAATTGCGCCTGGCGGTAAGATCTACGATGGAATTGTCGACTTGGACCAGAAGAAAGTCATTGAGTGGAGGCATACCCCCGGTGTGCAGCCCTTGATTACCATGGAGGACTTGCAAGAAGTCGAACACATTGTCCGCCAGGACCCGAAGGTTATTGAACAGTGCGCCATTATCGGCATCCCGAAGGAGGACATGCACAAGGTGTACTGTGACCGTAAGTCTTCCCGGATCATACGGAGCAGAAGGGAGATAAACTAACACATGTTTAGCCTGGACAATTGGTTACGATGAGCGCTTCGGTACCGGTGTTCGCCTCCAGCAAGCCCTCATGTACTACAGACCTCACATGGACGATTCTCAGTACACATATCCTTTGGACTTCTGTCCCATCTTCAATGCCGAGACTAAGCAGGTTATTCACATTGATGTCCCACCGGTACGCCGGCCACTCAGCAAAGCACCCCCCAACAACTACCACCCTGCAGCGATCGAACAGGAAGGCGGATTTAGGACCGATCTGAAGCCCATTCACATCACCCAGCCCGAGGGTGTGTCGTTCACAGTCAAGGGACGGCACATCGAGTGGCAGAACTGGAACATCCACGTCGGCTTCAACTACCGTGAAGGCATTGTACTCAACAACATCACTTTCAACGACAAGGGTAATGTCCGCCCTATCTTCTACCGTCTGTCACTCGGAGAGATGGTCGTGCCGTACGGAAACCCAGAGCACCCGCATCAGCGCAAGCACGCCTTCGACCTCGGCGAATATGGTGGTGGATACATGACGAACAGCCTGTCCCTTGGATGTGACTGCAAGGGAGCGATTCACTATATGGATGCCGCGTTCGTCAACCGCGCTGGAGCTAGCACCATCGTGAAGAATGCTATCTGCATTCACGAGGAAGATGCAGGTATTCTCTTCAAGCACACCGACTTCCGCGATGAATCGGTCATCGTCACCCGTGGTCGCAAATTGATCATTTCCCACATTTTCACCGCTGCCAACTACGAATACTGTGTGTACTGGATCTTCCACCAGGATGGTACCGTGCAGCTGGACATCAAATTGACTGGTATTCTCAACACCTATGCAATGAACCCCGGCGAGGACACCAAGGGCTGGGGTACTGAGGTCTATCCTGGTGTGAATGCGCACAACCACCAACATTTGTTCTGCTTGCGTGTCGACGCCAACATCGATGGACCGAACAATACGGTCTTCCAAGTCGACGCTGTCCGTGGCGAGGGTGAAGTTGGAAGCGCCGAGAATAAGTACGGTAACGCTTTCTATGCCAAGAAGACCAAGTTCACCACTCCCCTTGAGGCGATGTCCGATTACGATGGCTTTACTGGACGGACTTGGGAAATTGCCAACACGAACAAATTGAACGCTTACAGCAAGAAGCCCGTCTGCTATAAGCTGGTCAGCCGCGAGGTTCCCCCATTGCTCCCCAAGCCGGGCTCACTGGTCTGGAAGCGAGCTGGCTTCGCTAGACATGCCGTTCATGTTACCAAATGTAAGATTGCCCTCCTGCCCTCTACCTGATTACAGACGAAAACTAACTCTTATAAAGATTCTGATGACCAGATTCACCCTGCTGGTCGCCACGTTCCTCAGACCTCCGGAGAACCGTCTCAGGGCTTGCCTGCCTGGATCGAGGAAGCTGGTGCAAATAGCTCTATTGATAACACGGATGTTGTTCTGTGGCACACCTTCGGACTCACACACTTCCCGGCTCCTGAGGATTACCCCATCATGCCGGCAGAGCCTATGACCTTGCTTCTCCGCCCTCGTCACTTCTTTACTCGCAATCCTGTACTGGATGTGCCTCCTAGCTATGCTAGAACGCCTTCTCAGATTGCAGCTGGTGCTTCTTCTTGCTCGTGCAAGAAGAGCGATGGCTCTAGTACTTTGGTTTAAGTTTCTAGTCTCTTTCATTCTCGATTTGGCATCATGGCATTATTCTGCGGCGGTTTTTCCTATTTGGATACCTACGACTGGCGTTTTTCCTTGTATATAGCTTTGATATCTTGTAAAGCTTCAATGAACAGTTTCTTATTCTGGCTACCATTAGAACTTGCTTCTCTTTGCATTACCTTGCTGTGATAGCTGCTCCTTTAGGGATATAACGGTATTTATGGTGCGATAACGCAATCATGTATTAGTCCTACTCCCAAGGAACCTATGGAGGTTGTATCATTTGTCGCGCAATCTGCTAAGCTTTAAATGGCCTTCTATTATTCAGTACTTTTGATGCAACTTCTACACAGGTAATGACAGCAAAAGGACATCACTCCTACTCATTGTATACTCTATCCCGAGGCTGGAGCATGAAGTCTCGCTGCGGTTTATTGAACCTCGGTAAGAACAGGTCAGTCACCCAGTGAGCCAGTAATATAATGTCACCTCTAAGCTCCTGGTAGCAGTATGGAAAATTGTTGGATCAAACGGCCGTTAGTGAATTCCGTCAGGTATGACAGCTAGTGTATCAACCCTTCGATGGCCCTAAAATTGCAGTGAAATTGGCTCGGGTCAAGGCTGGAAAAATGAGTGTGGCTTTGACTTTCAGTTAAAAGCAAGCATGCTGTTTAATCCTCGCTCCTCTCCTATATGATAGAAGTGTCAATTGTGGATTAAGGGAGGGGGAAAGAGTGCTTGTCAATGGGATCATAAGCAAACTGCTACATAGTGGACGACAAAAATAAGACGAGTCTATGTTATGTGTAATATAGGATAGAATAGAATCAAATAAGCTAGTCTACCCTATATAGTTATGGTTTGCTCGACAAAATGTTAAAAAGAAACCCAATAAAAACCAAAATCACTGAATATCCACCTTAACAAATTCCTTCTCCGCCTCCTCATCCTCACCCTCAGGTTCTCCTTCATGCTCTCCTTCAGTATCAGACCCATCCGGAGTCGACAACTCCCTGCCAGCATTCACCATCTCCACCTCCACCTCATCTTCATGTTGAACATCCTCACCCTCAGCCCTAGGCAATACAACCTTCAAAACACCATCTTCCAATCGAGCCTGCACCCCGTCAACCACCGCCCCATGAGAGACCGGTATCTCCCTCTCAAACACCCCCAAATGACGCCCTCTCTCTCCAACCAACAAAGCCCGATGCATTTCCTCATCCACCCCAGGCCGATGCACAACACCAGCGATACTAAGCATAGAGCGCGAGGCATCGTATCCAACACTCAGATCCGACTTTTGCGCTCCCGGGAGCGACGCATGCACAATAGTCTGGGTAGTTGTAACGAAGACGTCCACTGGAGGCATGAAACAGGCTGCGTCTCGTGGGTGGTGATGATGTGCGCGCATGAGAGGGTGAATGTGGTGCAAGGTATTAGCATGATGGAATCCTTTTCCTTTTCCTTTTCCGTTTGTCTTTCCTGGGCCTCGTCCATGTCCTGCCCCGCCTCGGCCTAGGTGGTGAAACTTTCCCCGAGAGTGGAAATGGGGACCTGGTCCGCCTCGTTTGTGGTGAGGGTGGAAGCCAGGGTGGCCGGGGCCTGATCTGTCATGTTTAGTCCATGAGTTGGAAGCATGTTCAAACCCATGCTCATGCTCAATGGTATAGCCATGTCCATGTTTATGATGGTGTGGGTGGAATTTCCCACGGCCATGGTGGCCAGCAAACCCAAATGCATACGGATGGTGGTGTTGATGAGGATGATGATGACGACCTCCGCGACCACCACGACCACCGAACCCGAATGCGGGCTTTCCAGGGAACTCATCATCTCCCATATGTCTTATAGCGTCTCCTCCTTTATGCATCTTGTCTTTTTTAAAGTGCTTCCCATGTCTCATTTCAAAGACGTCCTCATAGCGAGGGGGATGGTGGTGAGCAAAGAAAGGATGATCCTCTAGCATAGACACATCCACCTCCCAGGCTTGGGGAGGCTGATGGAAATGGCATGAATATCTCATGCTTGGCTTTCTATGTCGTGAGATTGTATGTTTTGATTTTGGTCTTGTAAGATCTGTTTGTGTTTGGCTTAAGATCCCATGGATTTACGGTGGTATTTATACCTACACAGACGATTATGACTCAACCTGGTCTACGTACATCTTGTCTATTTGCCACCTAGGCAGACAGCAATTGTACAAATCACCGATGATGGTGTAGTCATCGATAGATGGTAGCTGAGGCTGAGCTTGAGGCCTACGTACAGCTCATTACCCGAAGCGGAAATCAAGTCCGACTGGGAGGCGAAAACTCGGACTATGCGATTCGGGTCTTTTCCTATTTCGGTGATCTGGCTCGGAGATAAGGTGTTATCGGGGAACAACTTTGTTATGTATGGTTTACCTCTAAGACTGGAATATGGGCTAGAGGGCATGAGTGTGACTCGACCTGAGAGGCGACGGTCAGTGTCGATCTCTCGAGTGAACTCGGGTCATGCAAACTGGAGGCCAATTGAAGGATTATATGCACGGCAATGCAACCGCGGGCTATATGATATGATCACACATGGCCTATGCTACATTCTGACTGTGCGAGTATCAGTTCAAGTTATTCACGTCAATATCTCACAGTCAGCAGTGGCTGTGGTGAGGGCGGCGGCATCACGGTTGATGACGGGAAGTTGATACAGGTATGCCTCAGGCTAGATGTGCAAGGAATTCACATTCATTACATACTATCATTATATTATACTTATCATATTTCATACTCTCAATGCAGCTCGCTGCGTTCCACCCCCATCAACTCATTGATCTCATTGGTTTGCCTTTCATCTCGCGTCCTGTAGTTCTCCGACGACAGCTCTGAGATGATCGTATCCGTGTGAGATCCACGCATATTCTTGGACGCATTACTTCCATCCACAAAGCCGCCAGGTAGAGTCGCACCATCAGAATTCCATACCGACTCGGAGACTTCCGGTGAGTTTCCTCGTAGCCGTTTCCTCCGTCGAAGATATCTAAATGATCCTACAGCAAGGGCTAACAGGAGAAAGCCCAATGGAATTCCTAAGCCTACACCGATCTTTGCGGCCGGGGAAAGGCCACCGTTGCTGGGGTCAGGAGATGGGGTTTCGGCAGACACATCCGTGGCTGTAGCGACACCGGTCGCCTCAGTTGAGGAGGTTGTCGCCGGGGCTGAAGTGCCAGTTGAAGATGTGGACGATGTACTGGCAAAATGGTATGAGGTCGGTGACGGATCGTCATGGTACCTCTTCGCAACCCCAAAGACAACGCTGGTCATATTGTCTCGGCCATCATGATCACCCTGGGAGCCCAAAGACTCCAGTTCGAAATAGCAGCCGGACTCCTTATAGACGTCCCGGTTTGCTGTCCAGACAAAGCTGTGTTTGTTCACAACGTTCACTGAACTCGTTAGCGATCTGCGATGCAAAGTTCGGTTCAGGGTCAGATCACTTACGGGCAAGAATCCATTGTTCTGTCCCACACTCTTCGTACAAAGATATCCGCGGCGTGACAACATCCCAGGTGATGTTGACTTGATCCCCAACGATGAACCGATATTGGGATTCTGTTGGAAATGTGAAGCCCCCGGCCGTGACGCACTCTACCCATAGAAGTAACGCGATGGCGAGACTGTGGATAGAACTACATAAGAACCGGGCAACCATTCTGACACTCGACAAGCGACGAAGGGATCACGCCCGGAAGAATGGCTGAGGTGCAAGTTGTTGTTGGGTGAAGCAGTTTTTCTTAATCAAGCGACAGGCCCCACCCGGCCGGATGAAAATATCCCTGCATCGAATTACCAATAGTAGAGCGACGAACCCCAGTCCGGTCAGTCCGCTAAAGCAATATGACTGCGCCGCAATATCAAGTCCAGCAACCGTCTCAACGCGCTGGTCATGCGCACCGGGCAGGGATATGTCCAGGATCGAATCCAACTGGGCCACATCATCGTGTGCAACGCGGGGACATGCGGCCATGACTTCCGTCTCTGGCTGTGAAACGGCACTTTTCTATAGGTGTGCTTGTGCTGCAACTGATGGTATGATATGGGATCCCTGGTTAGTTATGATAGGACAGATAAATCATGGGCAATAAGCACTGTACGTTGGGGGAAACTACAAATAGCCACAACTCAGCTTCCAATTAGGGCTACTATTCTTGGACCACTAAGCACTCACTTGTTGAAACCATTTATTTAATACCGACCACTCATCCTTCTTGCTACGACCAGACAGCCACCGTCTTCAATATGACAGACGCAACTTTCCTTCATTGGAACCACCCGTCGTGCTCAGCGCAGATACCCAGTACAAGACAAGTCTATTGAACCACATCAGCCTTGAACAACACAAGGCGCTGATCAGCTGGAGGTCAGCATCTTATTCTGCGCTCTTCTGAACTACACTATTTCAGCAAGCAGACTTCCATGGCGTTAAATATTTTGCCGAGTGGTGTCTAGCAAACCAGTCGGAAATACGTTCTAAGTAGGATTATTTTCCACCTCTCTCTGCTGGTGAGGGTGTTAAATGACTTCGTATTTGGTCATGCTGAATTATATGTTCATGTCTTTTGAGCCGAGATTTGGCGCTGGTGCTAGAGAAGATACATATTAGGTATCGTGAATGAATGTTCATAAGTCACCACCTGTACACACAAATACCCCCTTACAGAGCAGGCAATCGTAAATTGCAATTCATAAACTGTTCGATGATATTATGGCCACATCGTCGTACCTGGAACTCAGCAAATACTTCCCCTGTACATACAACACTGAGAGCATCGTTGAAGTAGAAAAGCGTCCCGGCACCAGTTTGGACACGATCCCATCATTGTTTCTAAGCGAACGCAACACTCTTCTAGCCATCAATCAAGCCAAATGACAAAGTAATCAGAGTTGCATGGATATGCCCAGCCAACACCAATCCCGCGTCACATCCTCTCATTGATCATCCATATCCTCATTGCACAATCGATCCGCCAACTGATTCTTCTCCCTGGAAATCCAGACATAATCCACATCACCTTCCTCTTTCAATCTATCATCCAGATCAGAAGCCTTTTCCAGCAGATCCCGATTAACAACGTCGTTGCCTGCAGCATTGGTCCATCCGTTCTTTGTCCACTTATGAATCCAGCTTGTCATACACCCAATCGCATACTTGGAATCCGAGTATATCGTGACCTTCAAGTGTGGACGCGTGTCTAACTCGTCATACTTTTCCAGGGCCTGCTTCAGTGCCAGGATAATAGCAGTGATCTCGGCGCGCTGGTTGGTGGGAGGGGGGTATGAGGGTAAGGACTGTGTCCTGGCACTGTATTTCCCGTATCTGTTCTTCAGAACGGCAGCCGCAGCGCCGATGGCTCCGGACTGGCCGTTGCCTCGACAGCCGCCGTCGGTGTATATCTCCATGATGTAGACCATGCTGGTGTGGTGGGGCTAGAGTTGAACGGATGCAGTGGGGGTCGGTGTTAGGCACAATTATGTATGGTGTAGAGGCTTCACGGTCGTTTGTCGGAGCCTGCAGGGTTAGAATGAGATGACTTCCTTGGGTCTTTGGTGCTTCTCCTCACCTCTACTGTTGATATGAGATATCGCGCTGGAGGTTTGTAGAAGGGACGCTACTGCAAGGAGTGATATGTCAACTTGAGAGACACGGGAGGTCAGTCCTGAGGGAGGCCTATGAGAGAGCCGGAGAGAAGTGTCAACCTTGTCAAAGTCCCTTGCGATGCGAGGAGCGTTGGGGAGATCATAGCGGGGCATGAGGAACAGAGAGCTCTTACAGCAGCGTAACAAACGATGATTCCCGCCCTGATTACCTTCGAAAACTGCACAGTCAATCAAAATCTGTAGCTAAGCAAGGTGTACGTGGTGACTCGTCGCGTACCCCTAGGAAAGGGAAGCCAGAGGAAGGACCCTAAGGCGTGTGGTAAACTAGATACCGTGTGTAGACCTTGTATAACTAGAACATAGGCACTGTTGCCAAGCAAAAGAAAATCAGTTAAAATCGATATCTAAGTATATGATATTAGAACATGTGATATGAAGAAGCGTCAGATCAGATGAAATGGAAGCCTGGATTCCACGATCAAGGTGATGCTGAGGCCTTCTTTATACTGCCTGCAGACAAAGAGATAAAGGCGGGAGGTCTAGAACGCGGTCTGGGGAGCATTGTTGTTAACATGACACATCGGCTCTTATAATACATAGTAATATTAAGTGCAAAGGGTAGGGAGGTTAATGTGGGTAGGGTAATCAAGTCGAAATTTGAATCTAATTCAGGAGCCCTTCTCCGAGCTGAAAGCATTCATAAAGCAGCATTGGAAAACCTAGAAAGATAAACCCAGGTAATAGGTATTTGCGTCCTTCCTTGGATAGTGTATTGAAACCGTCAGCGGAAGGGAACAAAGTGCAGAAGGTCGCTGTCGGAATGCTGGTCTGAGAGCCGAAGAGCCATGATATAGGATACTTTACTATGCCTGATCCCGTACGGGGACCTGTAAGTCACACGGTGTAAGTCACACGGCCGTGCCTGGAGGTGGCCTAATCGAACACATAATGTCTCTACGCTCAGTGGTTATATAAGGCTTCTGCCTGGATTACTCTGAGCGTTGATGCCTGATTTAGAACGGGTGACGGCAGAGTTAGATTGGTCCCATTTAACCAGCAAACAAAGAAAAAAGACTGCGTAGGCCTCTTTCAAACACGTCGGTATACTGATATACAAAAGTGCAGGTAGGAAGGGGTACAGTGCTGTACCTGGCTGACTTTTCTGACAACATTCAGGCATGATGGCATGACCGAAATTTTGAATCAGAAAGGTTCTCTATTGTATCTTGTGGAAGATACCTCGAGGCTATGACTTGTTAACCGGCGAGGCCGTCAGGATCAAGCATCTCAATAATCCTGGACATCGCTTGAAGATCTCCCTCAAAAGATTCGGCCTTGTCCTTATCAACCCATCCTTCTGTGATACCTCCCCCAAAGTCAATTATCCAAAGGTCGTCGTCCGCATCAACTAGGACATTATCTGGTTTCGCATCCCCCCAGATGATTCCTGCTCCATGTAGCCTGTGAATCAGATCTTGTAGCTGATATTTCCACTTGGCACGAAGATGCCGGGGTGTATTATCCAAATCGATATCTGCTAATATGTCGCGATGATTGATATACTCAAGCAAAATCCCTGATATAGTGGACTCATCCCCCTGGTCTTTCACGAGCTCATATAACGTAGGAGTGCGTACAGCATTCCCCAAGCCCATGGACTTGATACGAACCAATGTCGATATCTCACGATCCGCCTATTCGCTGCAGTACGTAGGTTTGTAGAACCGTATCGGACCGGAACCAACCGAGACCTTTTTCGGCCTTCGAGGAGGACTCTCGCCGGTCTCATCGTGCAATATGACCTTTGAAGCTTCAACCGATGGAATGTTGAGATCAGAGACAATGGAAGATAGCTTAGTCTTCGGTGCGAGTTGAGGTTGATACGAAGATGAACGAACACCCAACTTCCCATCCAAAGCTTTTAAACAAAGGGCTAATGTTTTGATGTTGAACCAATCATAAAGAGTTTGCACTGGAGCGTTTGACTCCTGTAAAGATAAATTCCTCATAGCAGAGTTGCATTTAAAAGCGATCCAGAAGCAGACGTTTTCCATTGGATCATCTTCCTCGTCCTCACTCTCCCCGTCAACCCGGTCCTCGGAGTCAAGTTTTCGCAAAAGAGATAAATACTCCTTGGTGGTTTCTAGATCGTCCTGGATATCTTCTGCAGAGACTGTGATATGATATCGCAGACCGTAACATTGTATTGTCAACTCGGTATCGGTGCCATCGCCGCGAAAGAATTCCAGTATATCATAGAGTGGTAGCTCCTCCGTATCCAAGGACTGAGCACACAAAACCATAGCCATAAATGTCTTTAGAGATCGCCAGCGATAGCATCGTGCTGCCCACATCTGGTGCTGGCCCACTCCAATGCTCACGATTGTTCGTGTGGATGAAAAGCTGGTCTGCCGATCGATTCTATCGGTATCTGGGAAGGCAGAACCTGCGTCATCAGGCTTGGTGAGCTGTGTGGGAAAGGATACTGCTTTTTCCATGCTTGAATTTGTTCGAACCATGCATCGTGCTTGTTCCCCTTCTGTAGATGTAAATGTGAGGTCAACAGCGGCAAGGTATCGCTCAAGTCACCAAGCACGGCTTCTGTTACTTGAACGACCATGTTGACGTTGTCGGGCTCGATATCAAACTGGACAATCCCACCGCGACTGCTCCGCTCTGCCCTTGATAGCCTTCGGCGCAAGCGATTCTGGGTCGCTTACCACGCGCTCATCCAGTCGAGCTCCCAAGGCTAGAATAAGATCTGCATTCTGCACCGCATAATTTGCGGACACTGCCCCGTGCGTTCCAACCATGTGGAGGGCTTGAGCCTTCGTCTCATCGAAGCTTCCCAGTCCCAAGAGAGTGGTAGCAACAGGAATCTTTGCTGATTCCGACAGTTCTGAAAGAAGCGAAGGGGCTCTCGGGCTATTCAATACTCCATGACCAGGTTGGCTATCCGCTGAATGGTACCTTGTAGCAGCGTGGAGTGACTGGTTTGCTGCACCGCTTTGTTTGCACTTGCCCGTGCCTGTAGGATACCTTTCGACGCGTTCTCAAATGCTACACTGTCGAAAGTAGCCGAGCTAACATCAATAGGAATGGCAACAAGAACCGGTTCAGGCCGCCCTTCCATGGCCTGGTCGAACGCCATCTCTAACGACGAAGGAAGATCTTCGACCATATGCTTCTTGGATGGGGGTGCATTCACGGGTGTGGCATGCTGTACAAGGGGATTTATTCTTGAGACTTTCATGGCAAACAACATTTAACGACAACACAGACATCAACTCCCAACCCTCATTGTTTAGACAGCTAGACTCAAACAACCGCTCTCCTAACACAAAGACGACAGAACTCCACAAACCTGACCCTCTCTGTCTCTCCCCTGGGCGCATCTACACCATCCACCCTCGCATTACTCTCCCCAGACACACCAGCACACCTCGAATCCAGCATGACCTTCCACCCCCTCAAAGCGAACAAGCACCCCGCTGCAGCTAAGTACACAAACCCCGTAAACAACTGCGTGCCCAGATAATCTCCCGTCCCCGCGACGATCTCCAATGCAATCGGCTCACTAAACGTGCACGGCAACACAATACTCAACCACAGCAGATTCAGCCCAGCCGCCACCTCTTTCAACCCGACAACCTCAGCCATCAGCGGCGCAATCGTAGCCCAGAAGTTCCCTCCGACGAGCCCCTCCGCGACGGCAAAGAACCCCAACACCCCGTAGCTCTTCGCATTCGTCCAGACAACCAGCGCTAAAATACCCGCCAGGAAAGTCATGGAGCCGGCCATGTTGATGCGACCGACGCGGTCGCTGAAGTAGCCGATGCAGGGGCGGCCGACGGCCTGTCCGAGGTTGAAGATTGCGGTTATGATGGAGGCTTGGGAGGCGTTGAGGCCGATTTTGTTAGCGTAGTTGGCGAGGCTGTACATGAGGACGAAGTAGCCGAGCATTGTGAAGCTGGCGAAGCCGAGGAGGAGTTGGTATTCGGCTTTGCGGAGGAGGGTAAGGTTCATGGATGTTTGTTTGTGGGGGCTTGTGGTGGTGGTGCTGCTGCTGCTGTTGCGGTCTTTGATTAGGAGGGTGCAGGTTGTGTTTACGATGAAGCCGAGTATGCCCAGAATGCGGAAGGCCCATTGCAGTCCTAAGTTGCGGATCATGGCGTTGGTTGCGAGCGAGTAGATGAGGCCGCCGAGGCCGGCGCCGGAGAGCGAGATACCGCTGGCTAGGGAGCGTTTTGTCGTGAACCATTGCGGGACGACTGCGGCCGTGGGGATGAAGAGGAAGCCTACGCCCATGCCGAAGAGAATCCCCTGTGTGAGGAAAAGCTGCCAGATCTCGGTGGCGAAGCTTGCGCAGATTAGACTGGCGGTTTCGAGGATGACTCCGCAGAACATTGTTGGTTTTATGCCCCATTCTCGGACGCCTATTGTGGCGATGGGTGACACGAGTAATAGAAGGGCGACACTTAGGGATCCCACGAAGGCGTACTTCAAGGGTGGAGAGCCGGGGAAGGTATCGTGCTTCAGGTAATGAGCGAGGAATACGCCGTATGCAGAGTTGAAGCCCCATGAGTGGGCATTGATTGTGGCTGCTGCTGCCGTACAGACCCATCCATAGCCACCATCTGGTGGTGTACTTGGCTCATTCTGTTGCAGAGTTGGAGGTTGGACGGGGCCTTCTAAGGGCTGGCTTTGGTCATTCCGTCGCTGGATATCTTTCTCCATGTTGGGGGGAGGGCAATAAGAGACATTGTTTGGTTTGCATGGCGTTATAAATCTATGATTGGGGTTAGCCAACCCAAGCAAATATAGTCAGTATTATATCTATCAAAATTGGAGAAAGCGACGTCTCATGCCGTGGATCCGGCTTATATCTATGCGATGATAGGCTGGACGGCGTTTGATCCATAGCCCTAAGATGCTTCCGGTGATTGTCTTAGGCCGAGACTTCTAAACGAACGCCCTTCAAGTCCAGGAAATTTCCATCAAGTGTAGCTTCCGGGTTCCTCAGGAATACCCACAAGTGGATTCTAGAACGGAAAAAGGCGGTTCTTTTCAGAAAGCACTGGTAGTCTCGACTCACCCGCGCCAAACAATGGGCCTCGCTGCCCCCTTTAGTCTTAGAATATATTTCGTATCTACTATGCTTCATCTAAACGTAGCTAGAGAAATAGCCTCCTCACGCTAGTGATCCCAATCTGTACAACAGATTTAATGACATCACTGCTAAAGATAACGGATGGGACAAATGATAGTCACAAGTGAATTGCCCTTGACTCCCAGAGGCCAATTGGTTGAAAGCCACGTGAAGTGGCGCGAAATACTAGTAGTACTACTAGTAGTATGTCTGCTTGTCTCACACTGAGTCACTGACATGCGAAATGATTACTGACCATAAAATCCTCGGTCTTTAGTGAGTTGATTCAGTCGATCTCCTCGGCCACGCATGGTCCCATCCAAACGCCGGATCTCGGCCTTTGAAATTATGATCATTGATCACCGATCACTGTACATGTGGGTCGGCTCTTTCAACTATAAATACTCAACCTTCCTAACCGTCATAGTATCTCTTAGAACAACAGAATATCCTCGGGGTTAAAATATTATATTCCAACTTGTCACGGTCTGGCATCTAAATATCACGTGATTGTAAACAGTATGTGAGTATATTGCTTCAAAGACTCGGAGCACTATCTAGATAGACTGTTCCTTTTCTTTGCACTATGTCTTGTCATCAGCTTTGCCAGTTAGCTTTCATATAGCATCATCCATCTGATTAAAATTTCACCAAGGATTGTTACGTTACACTCCCACACGGTGGCGCGCGGGTGGACCTATCTATTGCGCAGCAAGACAATCCAACCAAGTTGTTGCATAAACTCTGTAGTTGGAGGAGCTAGAGATCCGTTGCAAACCCTGACAATGATCCTATCAAGAGACTCAATAGCTCTGAACTGTGTATTAATATCTTTTAATGCATCTTGGAGGAATCGGATATTGATCTCTGTGTCTGTTACTAGACCGTAGTTCGGACCGTAAACGAGGGTTTCCAGTGTTTTCAAGTTGGTGCACTGTTCTTGGAGCAGCCGCAAAGTCTGCAGGTAATCTTCTCTTATTTTGATTTCACCCAATTGGCCATCCACCCTCTCTGTGGCTGGAAAATTCATCCGGAGGTACGACAACAAGCCTGCATTCACAGAGCCAATGCAGTTCAGGAAGGATTTCAAAAGACTGCCCTGGCGGTTTGTCCCCTCCTCGAGAGAAAACTCATTTGTACTATAGAGAACTGCGTTTGCCTCCTTGGATATTTGCCGGTTGGTATATAGAAGCGCCAGCCATTGGCGTGGCTTTTCGGGTGCGAAGGATTCGATTGGACAACCCGGATCCTGAAATAAGAAGATTGTATGTGGCACAGCCAGCACTTGTCTGTAGATATTATTGCGCAGATCGATCGGGAGGCTTAAAAAGCCGGCGTGAGCCGAAGATGCTGGCCGGGAAAGGGCGCTGTTCGGCCTTGCAGCCGACATGATGTCGAAGACCTATTGTGCCCGCTGGTGACGGATTATAGCGAACGGATCCAGAACTTGAAAGTCTGGTCGATCCTTTCTCCTCGTCTTGCAATCGGGCTTTCGTAATATGATGATGGTTCACTGGTAATAACTGGAATAGTATTCGAGGCTAAACTTGCTATTATGCGTCTATGTATTCGTTTTTATCACAGTGTCCTCAGAACGTAAAGAGGCGAGGAGAGTCCAACCATGGTTCAAGGTCAATCTAGCCACAAGAAGCCGTATCAGTATACATGCATGTTGTACAAATACCTTGCACATACTGGTTATGAATCTAGACATGGAGGTAACGAAGGGGGTCGACCACATTCCCCTCCTGTGTCCTTTGTTTTCCAGAGAACAGATCAGTACAAATCTGGTTGCAGATGGATAACAGACAGTTGAGAGTTGCCGTATGACTAGGTCCGACAAGTTATGGGGACATCTGCCAATCATACATCATACTAATGAGGGGTACAGGCAAACAAAGCAGCGCAATGATGAGTCGTACAAACCCGCTTAGGTATCTGGGACCTTCGATCCAGCAGCAAGTATGAATGCATTGGGGCAATTTTTAGAGAGGCTGCTTCAAATGATCGACTGTCCCATTTTCTTTTGCGAGCAATGGCTTAAATTAAAATGACAGAGCGGTTCGAGGAAGTATTCTGCATATACTGGGAGTAGTATCGCGGAAGGTACAGGGGCTTACAACGTTACTATACACTTGCCCCGAGCGGGAAATATTGGAACAACCGGGAGAGGTCTCTAGGATTGAGCTGGATTCTGGTACCGAGCGAGATGCAGTAGTGGCAAAGAAGATAATCGAGAGCGAGCTTTTATATCTTTCGACGGATGCCAAGGATCCTGGGCAGAAAACACGATTCGTTACGATCCGGCTGAGCGTGGCTTTAGTGACTCTGTCTATGCATCATGCCACTGGCTAGAGAATTTCGGTACCGTCACTGCCAGTCACCCTCTGAGCATAGAGGATTTATGCAGGCCAGCGGAGTATCACACGCCTTCTACGGTATACCCCGGCGGTTACTGAGATATCTGCTTCGGCTTTCTTCATTGGCCTGTTTACCAGTCTGGTCTTCATTGAACACCTGGGGGATGTCAATTGTTATGAATAATCCAAGGAATTTGTTCGTAAATTAGGAACTATACTACTCCCACGTGGTTATATAGCTCATATTGACATGGGCATATGAAAAATGAGTAAAAATTGTTCCTATGATCTAAATATCTCTGATTCTCTGCAATTCATATTCAACAAGAACATCTGTCATCTGTATTATCTAAATGATATCATAGCTATGTATGATAGAGAGAAGAGGTCCTTACAGAATATTAGGGTCTCTAATTCACTATATATTAAAGCGCTGCTATCCTAATAGTATATATATATATATATATA